CACAGATATCCGCATTATGGATACTTTATGTCTTAGTAAGACAGACACAGAAATCCATGTTATGGATACTTTATGTCTCAGTGAGACAGACATCCAACTTTAGGACACAGATATCCAGTTATGGACACTTTATGTCTCAGTGAGACAGACACAGATATCCAACTTTAGGACTCATATCCAGTTATGAATATACTTAGTGAGACAAGAACCTGTACTCAGATTAGTAACCTTATCCATGTTTATGATAATCCATAGTATGTCTGCGGCAGGAGAATTGGATCCGAACCCTGCTCCTCACAGTCCTGCTCTTCTGTCTGGCAAGGTGGAAATCCATGTGCACCACCACCACCATTACCGCTGTTATAACCATGCTGGTACTCCATACTTCCTTCACGGTTTGGTGCTTCAGAGTACCCTACATCTGCTGAGGTGACGTATCTGGGATACTGGCCTGCCTGGTGCACCATACTTTGCTGGGAACTGACATTGGGGTGAATGCTGGTACGGCAAGAGCTGTCTGCACTGTCTTGCCCCAAGGAAAAATGAAGAATTTCTGCATTGTCCCTCACCAAGTGCTGACCCCAAGTTGTAGGAATCTGGGCAAGCTGTAATGGAACAGACTGGATGGAAGTTGATCCCATGTTGTCAAATGACCCCAAGGTTGTATAGTAGCTTTCCCTGGCCTCCTGCACTGGTTGGTAATTCTGTGATGTGTTTGGGCTGCCAGAGAAGTTCTGTTTGCAAACTTGGAGTTCAGAGTACAGGGATGATGGCGAGAGATGCTGCTGATTCTGCTGCTGTTGAAACTCCTGAAACTGGAATGTGTTCTGCCCAAAATGACTCATCTGTTCAGCTTTTGCATACAGCTGCTGGTCTCCTTCTTTGGACTGTGCATCATTGTGAGAATGTTCATCTCCAGAATCTTCTGGATGATGTCTAGCAGCCGATAAACTGTTTAAATCCTCTCTAACTACCAGACTGCCTACTCCCGGCTTCCCTTCTGGTAAACTCTTCTCAGGAAAGCCATAACCCTCTCTGACATCCTTGCCTTCTTTCAAATCATCATCAAGTGCTCTTTGGTCATCATTAGCAGGTGCCCCCAGATGTCCTGCCACTTCCATGGAGACACTTGCTCTTGATGCTTCTATTCCGTACTCCTGCCTGCTGTTCACATTAGCCTGTTGTTTCAGATTCAGGCCAGACTGTGTCACAACGTGAGCCAGAAGTGTGTTTTCATGAAATGAAAGGTTCTGGGAGTTGCCACTGTCTATCACAGGTAAACTATTTGCACTGCTGTCTGTGCTAAATCTGGCAAGTCCTGTGCTGCTGGCATTTACGCCCATTTCCACAGTGTAAATATGTCCTCCATGTTTGTCTGTGCTGTCCCATAAGGCAGTTTGTTGTCCCAGGTTGGTAGCGTGAGGTGAACTGGAGTTGAGTGGATTAGTAGCTGCTGATGGAAAACCACCCTTCACCTCTCCTGGTATAAAGGGGCTAGTCTTCCGACCTTGAGATAATGACATTTCATTGGCTGAGGAGATAATATTTGCATTCAAGGACATCATATTCCCTACACTCTGATTGGTCCCAACTGAAGCATCTGAGTTTTGCATGACTGCCAATGCAGATGGAGAATTCTGCATTGCTGCAAACATGACTCCTGCATTGTGATTGCTAGTGGAGATGTCTTCCTTCCGCACCAGTGACTGGTGGGAGGCTAGGCTGACAGAAGGTGTTGACAGTCCAGTCTGCATCCTCAGGTCCTGCTGGCTGGAGCTCTGCCGCTGTAGGCGGATGGATGTCGAGGAGTGGCTGGAGTAGTGGGTCTCACGATCTTGCCAATGAGCAAATGTATCACCACAGTTGCCACATATGTATGGCCTGTCCTGAAACAGACAGAAATACGGTGAGTTTATTGGACATAGATGATCTTTGGGGGGTGAGGGGTGAGTGGTCTTGAGGCATGGTGACAGAACTACAGTGAGTTCAGATTAACTTTTTTTTGGGGGGGGGATGCGTGGTCTTGAGGCATGGTGTCCGCCTCGAGTGCTAGAAGTATCGGATTCAATCCACCGATAAGGACTGGGATTCTTTCACGTGGATTTGGACTCTAGTAATTTCCCCTGGTCTCTGGGTAGTAAGATTGGACGCCCGTGTGTATTGCTGCGCACGTAAAAAATCCCTTGGCAGTTGAAAATTAAATAAAGTAGCCTAATGGCGCTGCCCGGGCAAAATTTATAGTTAAAATCTACCCAAAGTATTTCAGGATCCTCGCCGGTGCTACAGAGCCTGTGCACTGCGCTGAGCTTCTTCAGACTCAAGACTCGAGTTAGAAGAAAAAAAAGACGGAGCACTTAAAGGTTACTACCCGTGTGCCATGATGTTAATCTCTTGTTCAAAACCTCTAAAACCTCAAATAAACTTTTATATTTTACCACTGGTACCTTTACAGTTGAATATTTTTAGCGCTGAATAGGTTTACCGCTAAATCTGTTTACCACTAAATATGTTTACCACCAAATATGTTTACCAAAGAATATGTTTACCACTAAAAATGTTTATCATGAATATGTTTATCAGGAATAAGTTAACCACTAAAAATGTTTACCACTCAAATAAACTTACCACACTGAATAAGTTTACCACTAAATATTGTTTCCACTGTCTGTCTGTCTATCTCACTGTCTGTCTGTCTATTTGTCTGCCTGTCTGTCTATCTCTTTGTCCGTCTATCTGTCTCTCTCTCTGTCTGTCTTTCTATGCTTAAATACTGTTAGGTGTCCCAGGCACGACTAATGGTCGGTTTCCAGGATAGTGTGTGCTCGTTAGCAAGATGCAAAGTTATTTATTGAGTTTCAACAAGTTGTTAACTCCAATGATCCATCTTCTTCTTGGACTCCCTCTGCATCTTGATGTTTTCATTCTTATGTTGTATGTGCAACCGCTGACACTGGGTTCATTCTGACCAAGTGGCCAAACCATTTCCGTCTTTTAAAGATATCTAGACCTGATTTTGGCGGGTATTTGATTCAACTACTAGTTTGCTTGACCTGACTTAGATTCCTCGTGAAAATGCACAGTTTATGAATCATAATAAGTTTTTCAGTGTAACCATTTTAAAAAACTGGGGTTCCGTGAAAGAGATTAAAAAAGAAAAAAAGGGGTCAGCAGGTCTTAATTAATTAAGACCCACTGGGGTAAAGCCCTTTTAACTGTTGGGATCAAACCTCTCCAATTCAGTGACAACTATATTTTCTCCATTTTCAGCATCCCGAGCCCTGGAGGTCCATCACTGCAAACATCAGCCCCCTCCATTCATCTCTGTGACTGGTCTTCTCTTTCCCGTTGTTGACTCCTAGTGTTTGTAGGTTCCAAATCTCAAAAGTTCTTTAACACTTCAGGGCTGTTGTCCATTTTATAGGGAAAACAAGAACAGACCCAATAGCATGTCTTGAGAGTTGACTAATTGGGAGCTTCCTTGAAAGTCGGAGTGCATCTGCCTGAGAGGCAAGGAACCAACAGTCTGCAAACAAATGAGTCAGATCTGTAAAACGGACGCACACGCAACACTCAGGTTCTGAAACAGGACTGCAGTCCAGAAGTGGATAAATAACCAGAACTTTCACTTTCACCAGAACTTTTTACAGCTGGTGAACGCAAAGAAGAAGAAGAAAGTCCATTTAAACACAAAACACATGGAGAAGGGATTTATTTTTACTCTTTCATTCCCAAACAACACTATGTGCGTCTAGATTTACTCATATGTTAACATATTATTATGCTTGTATATCTGTTTAGTTGGGGCATACTAAAACACTCAACAACACATTTGTCTCCCACAATGGATGTGCATTTAAGCCCCGTGGATGTAGTATTCCTATTATTCTGTTGACTTCACAATTGACTCACCGAGGCATCAACTATGACCTGGAATGCAAAGAGTTAAGAGTGAAGTGAAAAATTTGAAGAGTATGAACACATGATGGCAAAATACAGGAGGACTTGGCAAGAGGTGGAGAAGAATCTTTGCTCCATTGGAGAACAATGGACAGAGGAAGAAGATAAAGAGTCCTCTGACAAGGTGCGAAGATGAGCATTATGGAACAAAATGGATCAAATTCTTTTATCTATGTACGCCATACAATACCTTGGATGGCCAGAGTAACTAACAACGATTGCTTTAAAGAAGCTAATGAAAGTAGATCTCTATATACAAGAATAAGAAAGAGACAAACACTGTTCTTTGGCCACATAATGAGAAGAGAGATATTGGAGAACATCGTGACAACTGGAAAGATCAGTGGGAAAAGGGGTAGAGGATGACCAAGAGAGATGATGATGGATGGGTTGAAATGATGTCATGGAGGGATATCATCAAGAGAGCTGTTCCAGGCAAATAGGGATCGTGATCTGTGGAGACGCATGAGCGCCGACACCAGTTGGCAGGGCACATGATAATGTACTCTATAAACCATCCATCTATTAACTCTTTCCTTTATTATCTCGTCTTCATTAACCATCACCTTCATAAATCCTTACCTCCATTAACATCAGAATTTAAAGATTAAATATCTGTTCTGTGAAGAAATGAGACGGGGGCTGTAGTTCTAGCATCTCTGCAGATGGGACCTCCCAGAAATTCTCCATTCCCGTGCCAGGGGAAACAGAACAAAATGTCCTTCACTGTGCCATTTGAAATTAGTGAAAGACTTGTCAGTCCTGGCAAAATCTTGAAGCTTGCACTCGAAAAGTAAAACTGCATAAGGCAGCTGTGGGATGTGCCAATAAAAATTATCCCAAGCGAAGAATTCCACTTCAATGCAGATGCAAATGATCAATCGAGAAAGTTTACATAACATCTGCAAAAGTATGTGCCATTCTGAACAAAATTAGCCACCCGCCATTTTACTGGCAACCTGCCATTTTACCGGCCACCTGCCATTTTACCGGCCACCCATCAACCTTACACTAAGAGTTTAAAAACTGCACAGAATTCATACCTGTCCATGAGTCAGAAGATGTGTCCTTAGAGATCTGTCATTGGTGAAGCCTGCGTCACAGAATTCACATACGTAAGGACGTAGCTCAGCGTGTGCAACGACTGGCAGCTGAAAACAGAAAACAAAATGAATCTAAAAATCTTTCTAGGAGCTCGACTTACATTGTTCTTCTTCGTCATGTTCAATAGCTGTTAAGTCTACAGAAAGTCCTAACTGTTGTCAACTTCTTTTTCCAGTACAGACATTTTACAGCACTGGCTTATTTATGTGCAGACTGTTGGTTTGCTGCCTCTCAGGCAGATGAGTGGCGCGAAAAAGGTACAACAACTTTAACTACAATCTTCAGTCAATTCAATAGGCATCCTAATGGTTTTATGAGAACATTTTGGAAAGCTAATGAAGATATCGTGAAAGAAACTGGAGCCTCAAAGAGAACGGATTGCCCACCTCAGGAGACTCTGTGTGGATTCCAGGGCCCCATTGGGGGGGGGGGGGGGGGGGGGGAACAGACCCACTGACCTAAGAGGGACTAATTATGGGTGTTTCCTCTGAAGTCAGAGTGCATCTGCCAGAACTGACTAAATGTACACAAAACAAGGTTATTGATAGACAAGACTACATGGTATGGACTATGGAAGATTATTTGTGTCAAAATTGTTTGAAAGTACAAGACTTCCATGGTATGGACTATGGAAGATCATTTGTGTCAAAAATTGTACAAGACTTCAAACACCAAAATGTACACAAAACAAGGTTATTGATAGACAAGACTACCGACACCACATGGTATGGACTATGGAAGATCATTTGTGTCAAAATTGTTTGAAAGTACAAGACTATCAACACCACAAGGTATGGACTATGGAAGATCATTTGTGTCAAAATTGTTTGAAAGTACAAGACTACCAACACCACATGGTATGGACTATGGAAGATCATTTGTATCAAAACTGTTTGAAAGTACAAGACTATCAATGAAGGACTACAAGAAGACATGAGACAGAAGATTTTGGATAGACATGACATACCAACACCCCACGGTACAAAATACAAGAAGAAGCTTTCATTTTCTTTACCTGTATAGGGCTCACTCCAGGTAGGCTAAGGCTGTAGGAAACTGAAGCCACACTCCCAGAAGAAGCAGCACTGCTTGAGGCTGTTGCCTGCAAGGGCCTTCCCCCTGGGGATGATTGAGTAGATGCTACAGAAAAACTGTGCCCATGCACAGGACTGGCTGCTTTAGTGACAGCTCCTGGAATATCTTGCAGCGTTCCCTCACCTTCCCCAGTGAGGGTTATGTCTGAACTTTTCTGATGACCGATAAACGTTGGATGATTGTGGTCAGCGGTATTTGGTTGTCCATTTAAAGAGTTTGAGGCATCCAGTGATGGTGGTACTGCTGGTGAAAGAGATAATGACGATGATGTGAAGGAGTAAGTCTTGGTCTCATTTTCTGAACTTGCTGCGAAAGAAGTTACAACCATGCTGGTTATTACTGCACTAGGGGATGCTTCAGCTGCTGAAGAGAACACCGATGACAGAGTCGAAACTGTGGAAGTTTTGGCTGGCTCGTCAATAACTAATGGACAATCAAGATCAGTCTCTGATTCACCGGACTGGGTTGTTGAGTGGGCTAGCCCAAATCTTGCTCGCTTGGCCAGGGACTGGCGGAGGCGCTCGTTGAGGTGTGGTGAGACCAGCAGTGTTGCTGTCTCTGATGCTGGTTGATGAAACATTTTACGTTTGTGAGAAGGCCGTTGTAGTTTCTCCTGACTGGCCAGATTTGTCATGCCTAGAAGGAAAGAAACAAAATTAGAAAATGAGACAAGAAAATTTCAATCACATTATGCACTGACGTATTAAATGACTAGAAAAGACTGGAAAAATATTAAGTATATGTACAGGTTCAATTAAAAAAAGACAAAGAGTGTTGCAGCGATTAGCCTTCATCAGCAGAACAATGATGAAAAACAATAAAAACAAAACGCACACAAATGAACTGATTCTGAAATGACTACTGTAATGTGCGCAACTTCATTGGAACTGGTGGCGTAACAAAGTGACTAGGGGCGTCGTAATGTAACAAATGGCATCAACACTTAACATGCCACTGGCCAAGAGTAACACAACATGATGAATGCTGAAGCTTCCAAACGTAGCGAAATAAGAACTCTCTTTAAAAGTTCCATTTGTGTATTGACAATAGCGATGATCAACACAAGGAGAAAATGTGCAGTTACTAATCAAGATTCATTCAAGCATATCAACACAAGCCCGCTCATACATCCATGGACTGATTTGTCCTCACGATAGGTCGCAGTCCGACCTTGAGATCCAGACTATCATCTTTGTGTTCAGTTCATCCGTCTGAATTAAATAATGAAGGTATACCGGCCTACTGCCGAAATGTAACGTTCACCAGCTTCCTGCTGAGGTCTATCTTGGAGTCCCGGGGTAAAACGTCCTCAAGGATCCAACTTTATATAACGTTTGCTTCCGTGGGATCCCGGGGTAGAGCGTCCTCAAGGATCCACACGTCCCTCTCCTTCGGACTATAAACATCAACTACCTTTGACAACAATCCTTCACAACGTTACGTATTGTTTTGACGTCTTATTCGCTCACTCAGTACTGGTGCGTTCTGGTGCACATCCGCACGCGACAACTACATTACAGTATTAACATATTATGCAAACAAATAAACCAAAATAACAATAATAAACAACAGAATTAAATAAAGAATGTTGTACTTACCTGGGCCATTCAAAATTCTTATTCTGATATGCATATTAACTGACTAATGATTGAGAAAATACATCATGCCACTTAGGACATACTTTAATCAATCATTTCATAAATCAATTAATCAGGTATTGTCTACACCAGTGGCGGCATCCGCAGCTTAGGCGTTGCGAGTCCGACTCGTAATTCCAACATACCTCGATCGAAACCCACTGCTGGCTGCTTGGATTTTAATCATGGTATGGGGCATCGCAGGTCGAGCGAGCCTAAAATGGGTACCAAGATGGTTGTCCTGGGGAAGTAAAGTCAGCCAGCATAATGCTAACCACATTACCCATCCAGTGCCGATTGGTTTGTAAAAATATGGGATGCTCTTCCCATATACCCGATGCCCCTAAAGTGTGAAAAGGGATCTTTACTTTTACTTACTTTACATTTTTCCTTTCTATACACGTAGTTCTCAAATAAGTAAGACCAGTGGAACAATCTTATTTTTCAAAGGTCCGCCACAGGTCCTAGACTTCTGAATAGCTATACTTCCCCGTTTGGGTTCCAGGGCCCTTTTGTGCAGAAAATAAGAACAGACCCACTGCCTACCCAAAAGTATGGCGCAAGAGTCGACTCCCTGGACAGTTCCTTTAAGGCAAGGAACCAACAGTCTGCACACAAATGAGTCAGACCTGTGAAATGGATGAGCACACAATACTCAGATTCTGGGACAGGACTAGAGTCCAGAAGTGGACCAACAACCAGAACTTTCCATCGGAGTTTAGCTAATGAAAGCAAAGAGGAAGAAGAATAGTCATATTTTAAAAAGAGGATTGCATTCTAGAAATTATGTACTGTGTGTGTGTGTGTGTGGGTGTGGATGGGTGGGGTGGGGGTTGGTCATAAATCATCTTCTTTTTCATAATTCTTTTCAGTAATGTAATTTTGTTGTGCTTGTTTGAAGCCTAGCTGCGATATTTGCACCTTTCGGCCAACACATCCGACTTTATCCGGCATTTGTTCACCTGGTTAGGCTTTCCAGTGTTTTTTTTTTTTTTAGTAAATGATATCACGCACCTCTTAAATTAGTTCCGCTGATTGATTTGATTTGATTCAAGAACCGACATCACAGCACTCGGGGCATTCCCATATGCGCTCCGTCCCTATCTTCAGCAGCCAGTGAAGAGTTCCGATACTAATGGTGCCAGTAGCATTTTGATTAAACGTCCGTCATGCCTTTCCTCTGAGCCTCGAGTATCTGCCAGAACCTCTTGTCACTCCCCGCTGCATCAATCTCACCAGACTGTGGTGATCCATCTGCTCCTTTGAACTGTACACGCTCTCCCACAAGGCACTAACCTCGTCTGCCTTAATTCTGCGGACACCTGGAGGACCAGCAAATGGGATAGACTGGTCTACATCTATCTGAAACTTACTGCAACGGATCTCTGACAGTCTCTTTATTTAAAATAAATGCGGTTTTTTTCCTCTTATTCAATTTCACACAAATCTGTTTAGATTTCAACAACGGTTCAACGTCATGGCACAAGGGTAGTACCCCACAAGTGCTCCATTCTACTTCTAATTCGATTCTGAGACCAAAGAATCTCAGCGAAGTGCACAAACTCCGTAGCACCGGCAAGGATTCTGAGCTACTTTTGGTAGATTTTTAACTCCAAATTTTGCTCGTGCATTGCTGTTAGGCTTCTTTTTTTCGATTTTCAACTGCCAAGGGATTTTTTTTTTACGCGCGCAAAAATACACACGGGCGTCCGATCTTACTACCCAGGGACCAGGTTAAATTACTATAAGTTCTCGTAAAAAAATCCCAGCCTTCACTGGGGCCTGAACCCAGGACCTCCAGCACTCGAGATAAACACCATGCCTCAAGACCACGCAGCCCTCTAAATGCAGACCATACCCACGGTTTTCAGCATCCCAACGTGTTTGCGGGACTGTAAATTTAACAGAAATGTGCATTAGCAGATACTGACAAATCTCAGCATAATAAATCACTGCTATGCAGCAGAGAGGTCTCAGGTCTGACCAGTCAGCAGTCCAGTGGAAACAAAGCTGTATGGATCAGCGAAGGACATGATTCTTACCAACAGCCTTCCTAGAGGCCTTCCTATTTCAAAACCAGTGGCAGGGAGAATGAAAAGAAGAAGAAGAAATCACCGCAATTACCCGAGTCTGTGCTTTCTTGAAAAGTGTAAGACCGTCTCTCCAGACCTTCTTCTGCAAATGTTCTCACAGCCTGTTCTGTGTCCAGTTCCAGGTCTGCTGTTTCTTCTTTGATACCGGAATCATCCTCCTGAGCATCTGTTTCCATGTCCTCACTCGCGCTGGAGACAACATCCAAGGCTGAAGCTTCCAGCTCAGTCAGGGCTGTTTCGGCTTCTATCTCTGCCTTCAGCTTGTCCTGATCTTCCAGTTCTCTCCGATGATTCTCCTGGAGTTCGCTCTGCTGCAGCTTCTCATAGGTGCCAGCGGGGAGCATTCCCAATGTTTCCAGCACCCCGATGTGTTTCCGGGACTGTAAGTGAGCTGTGTATGCCTCAACTGAATCAAGGCTTTCAGTACAGAATGCACAGGTGCTTGGCTTCACTTTCCCTATCTTCTGCTGCTGGTCTAAAGCAAGGAAGTCTCTGAACAGAGGGGATCCTGTAGCTTTGATATCTGAGCTTAAAGAAACAGCACTAGCCATTAAAGGAGAACCCTTATAACTGGAGTCTCTCAGTGATGGATTTGAGCTGGCATCATTAAAATCTGCATTCTTTTCTGAAGGTTCCTTTGCTTCTGCTGCCTTCCCTTCATGTTGTAAGACAGTTGGCTCTTCTAACACTTTAGGTTTGGAAAGTTCAAACGCAGAATCTTCTTCCACAGACGGGAATGCTGTATCGTCAGCTAGAGAACGCTGGCGGCGGAGAAAGCGTGACTTGCCAGAGCTGAGCCTCCGAGAACGTCTGCCTACAGGGTAGCCGGGGGAGTCAATGCAGCTGTCACTCTGACTGTTTGGAGAGGGGCTGGAGGTCTGCGTGGCATGGGGCAAGTTGATGAAGCCTGTGCTCTCTTCAGAGTACTCTGTTCCGGTGACTAGCAAGACTGGCATGGCACTCTCTCGAATCAAAGATTCTATTGCACTGTGTTTGGACAAGGAGGTTGCACTTTCTGAGTTGGATCTCCCTTGAGTTTCAAGTGTCGGTCTGGTTGAGGATTTGACTAATGACATGCTGTCCTGTGCCAATGTCCCTGGACTTGACGGCAATAATGAAATCACTTTGTTGGAATCGGAGATGCTATTGTATATTGACGATGATGAGGACGATGTCAATGCTGTTGAGATTGATGCTTGTACATTTGAAATTTGTCTTTTGGTCATTTCATCTTTATAGTCAGTGAATTTTGCTGAAGGTGAGTTCACTGTTGGACTCGGACTTTCCAGGGATGTGTCTGTGATTGTCACTATTGGAATAGTGTGTATAAATCCTTTGGTGCTGGCAACCACTGTTGAAGGTGTTAGAACATTCTCATCTCCTCCATCGGAGCTGATGCCCTGACCAGGAAAAGGGATATTAAAGTGGAAGGGCTGCGGGTGCCCTGACAGGACAACACTGGGAGTCAAGGGCATGTTTAGCGAGTTCAACAACTGGCTGTCTTTCCGGACAAACTGACCGATAATAGGGCCCTGATCCGATGTTCTGGTCATTCGGCCTCGCTGAGCATACCGGGACGACACATACGATGGAAGGAAAGCAAACAGGGATGGACTGGGTAAGTTTGAGTTCTGCTGTCTTGTTGGAGATGCTGGTGTCTTTACGAGAGACAACTGTGTCGGTCGTGCAGCCATCGACTGAGACCAGTTAGACGAGGGAGTCTGCTGTGACGAAGCCAAGTCACCACGGTCACTGTCCTCATCTCCCGCATTCCCACTTCTTTTTCTCATATGGTGTTCGTCCGTAACCACATACAACTCCTCCAGTTTCTTCCCATAATAGCTTGCCAGAATGTTACTGTGCATATTCTCACTGCTGGAGGAGCTTCTCTGCTCCCCTGTGTTGCCAAATGAAGACGAAGGATCGCCGACATTCTTCTGTTTGTTGTCGTCCCCACCAAAACTGTTGGACCTCTGCACTGTTCTTTCCCCGGATTCATGGATCAATGGATGCAGTTGTCCGGCATCGGCTTGGGATGACCCTGGTAGGGAAACATCCGGGGACGATATACTGGGCAAGGACAAGGCTCGATGTGTCTGCAATTTTGAAATAAATACAATAATAAACAAAATTCAATAATAAACACATTACAACTAAAAAACTAAAAGGAACAACTCTTGTAAACAAATTCTACCACTGCTGGCGTTGACACTGAAAGTAAAAAAACTCTTTTAGTTCTAAGTACTGGGTGATGCTGACCTAATCACAAGTCCTGATCATAAAGTAATATGTATTCTAACTTTCTACATTTGGCCAGAACATGCAAGAGAAATCAGCCTTCACTAATAGCCACTAGCTGGTGATTTTTTTCATAGCAGTTATTCGTCTGTTTGGCTGAGATAACCTGCTGGTACAGAAAAGTTGCCAAAAGTATTTTCAACAACATTAGAAACACCACACCTGAAGAGATGGTTGAGACATTAAAGGTGGGAACTGTCATTTTTGCACAGACTCAGTCTATCTGGTGTAGGGGCCTCAGCAATGAACAGGTAATTGATCTGAGCCCGCAATTTTTACGGAGATCCCTCTGGATCATTGCCGGAGTTAGGGAGTTCATGCTTTCTTTGTACGACACTCTCGGCAGGCGGTTGGCCGTTCTGCAGAGAGAGACCGACCCATATAGGATAAAACCTAGTGCAACAAAGTCCATCCACTCGACTTTAACTTTACTTTTGAGCTTGTCCTATTCTGTTTCTCTGCCATACGTTGTCTTTTGTTTGTTGTTTGTTTTAGTATCCAGAAGCCATCAGTACATTGTCTTTTAAAAAGGACAACAAAAGACAGTTTTCATTTGAGTATAACTGCTGTGACTCTTGAAATTCTAAAGCTTACAAAAGTTTGAGCCCTCAGACGACTTCAAAACAAGGATTTCCCTATGGGTTCCTGGGCCCTATTATAGGGAAAACAAGAATAGACCAATTGCCTACCCAAAAGCATATCGTAAGAATTGACTAATTGGGAGCTTTTTTCGAAGTCAGTGAATCTGCCTGAGAGGCAACGAACCAACAGTCTGCATACAAATGAGTCAGATCTGTTAAACAGATGCACCCGCAACACTCAGGTTCTGGAACGGGACTGCAGCCCAAAAGTGAATGAACAACCAGAACTTTCCGCCAGAGTTTACAGCTGGTGAATACGAAGAAGAAGAAACAAGGATGATGCTTTTAAAAATGTGTTGTTGTTGCCAGCTGGTGTCTGCCCAAGAGGCGAAGAGAGATCTCTGTCAGCTAACATCTAAAACTCCCCCATCCCACACTAAGCTTGTGAATCCTCTGGAAGACAGTCAGTTGTAACTCTTCAATTACTTGTGAGGGTTCTGGTGCCATATTTGGGTGGGGGGGGGCTGACCCGCTACCTCTGAACAAGCATGTCATTAAGGGTGACTAATGCAGGGTTTGCTGAAACTGGAAACTGGATGAGGTGGGCCGAAAGGTGCAGATTTCCCAGCCTAGCTGTAGACCACAACACACTGTGTCCACTGCCATTTTAAGATTATTTCCTTTACTAGTTAGGCGATTTCTACGATATACTTGCTAGGGAGGCAGTGAGTCTATTCTTGTTTTCCCATACAATGGGGACAACTCTGTCTCGGTGCTCTTACAAACATAAACAATGCTGACAACAACAGTCTGCAATACCGATACTTTTGTTGCTTTTTTAATTTGACATTTATATTATGCAAACTGTTATATGAACTTCATCATCAGGTGCCTTGCCGACTGGCGTGGCAATCATGCCTCTCCATAATCTACTATCTCCTGCAGCATGTATCAGTTCATGTGCCGACACACCTCCATGCCATGCAACAAGACTGTCATGAATCTTCTTTTGTTGTCTTCCTCTATCCCTCCTTCCACAGATCTTTCCAGTGGTCACAATATGTTCTATTTTCCCTCTTCTCATAACATGACCGAAAAATGATGACTGTCTCCTTCTGATGTCTGTGATAAGTTGCCTTCGAGCTCCTGCCTCTTTCAAAACCTCTTGGTTGCTCTTTTGGGCTGTCCAAGGTATTCTAAGCATTCTTCTGTAAAACCACATCTCTGAGGCCTCAAGAAATTGTCTGGCCTGCCTAACGATTGACCAGGATTCACAGCCATATGCAAAAACTGGATGTATGTAGCAAGAAAGAATTCTTTTTCTAACTTTCAATAACAAAGGATATATTGCACAAGATGTTCTTCATGTTATAAAATGCAGTTTTTGCCTGTCCTGTTGTGTTTCTTATCTCAGTTTTAAGAATATAGCAAGTTTTTTTATGCACAAAATACAATTGCTGTGTGAAAGAAGAGTATCTGGAAGGGCGGATTGGAAGATGGTCCTGCATACTCAACTTCTGACCCTCAGAAAATAAAGTCTGTTCTTTACTTCTTTATTCACATACATACCCCTCCACTCCCAGGTTGCCCAAGAGATAAAGCCATCAGTCTCCCAGTGTTCAGCGGAGTGCTGGGGCTGGTACTATCTCCCCCTAGGTTGAGGCCCGACAAGGGTTTCTTCTGTGCCATCAGCTGAGTGATCAGCGACTGGAGGTGGGTCAATGCTGGGGACATTCATGTGACACAAGTTAGTATGAGATAGAATGATCAGTGACTGGAGGTGGGTTAGTGATGAGGACACTGAAGTGACATATGAGGATATGGGACTGAATGGTCAATGACTGGAGGTGGGTTAGTGCTGGGGACATTCAAGTGACATATGAGGATATGGTCCTGAATGGTCAATGACTGGAGGTGGGTTAGTGCTGGGGACATTCAAGTGACACATGAGGATATGAGACTGAGTGATTAGTGACTGGAGGTGGGTCAATGCTGGGGACATTCATGTGACACAAGTTAGTATGTGATAGAATGATCAGTGATTGGAGGTGGGTCAATGCTGGGGACATTCATATGACACAAGTTAGTATGAGATAGAATGATCAGTGACTGGAGGTGGGTCAATGCTGGGGACATTCATATGACACAAGTTAGTATGAGATAGAATGATCAATGACTGGAGGTGGGTTAGTGATGGGGACACTGAAGTGGCACATGAGGATATGAGACTGAGTGATCAGTGACTGGAGGTGGGCCAATGCTGGGGACATTCAAGTGACACATGGGGTTATGAGACTGAGTGATTAGTGACTGGAGGTGGGTCAATGCTGGGGACATTCAAGTGACACATGAGGTTATGAGACTGAGTGATCAGTGACTGGAGGTGGGTCAATGCTGGGGACATTCAAGTGACACATGGGGTTATGAGACTGACTGATTAGTGACTTGATAGGGGTCAATGCTGGGGACATTCAAGTGACACATGGGGTTATGAGACTGAGTGATTAGTGACTGGAGGTGGGTCAATGCTGGGGTGATGCATGAGGATATGAGACAGGGAATAAAGGCATGAAAATCAGGAGAAGGCTTAAACAGGATGAAGAAAACAAGAAAAAGAAAATACAGACAGAACATACTGAGTACACTGAGATATAAAATAATAAACAGGGAGGGGATAAATCAGGATTGACAGAAAATAGAGCAGAAGAGAAAGGGGAAAAAGGCGTAATTTACAGAAAATAGAGCAGAAGAGAAAGGGGAAAAAGGCCTAATTTACAGAAAACATGAGACAAAAAAAGGGGGGGTGGGGGGGGGTTAAAAAGTGAATATACATCGATGAGCAGACAGAACACTACTGACAGATCTTACTAATGATATATACACCACACTAAACTAAAGGCAGACTTTACCTAATGTTACTGAAAAACCTTATACTACATTAAAGAGAGGAGAGAACACTACTGACAGATCTTACTAATGATATACACACCACACTAAACTAAAGGCAGACTTTACCTAATGTTACTGAAAAACTTTATACTACATTAAAGAGAGGAGAGAACACTACTAATAGATCTAACTGATGACATTACATTACACTAAAGGCCGACTTTACAGATGTTACTGACAAAGCTTATGCTAAATTAAGGAGTGTACAGACAGAACTTACTGATGAACTCAACATTATACTATTATAGCAGACATACTATTGAGACACCATACCACGTAAGGCATACATGAAAAGAGGAAAAGGACGCAGAGCCTGAGGTGGACTAAGAACAAGACAAAAAGATAACATCAGAGAAACTCTAACACAATGTGTCTATGGTAGGGGCAACCATATAGGTATACTTTATAGAATGTTACTGACAAACCTTTCATTACAATAAAGACAGATTTTACAGAATGATACTCACAAACCTTTCATTACACTAAAAACAGATTTTACATAATGATACTCACAAACCTTTCATTACACTAAAGACAGATTTTACATAATGATACTCACAAACCTTTCATTACACTAAAAACAGATTTTACAGAATGATATTCACAAACCTTTCACTACACTAAAGACAAACTTTACAGAACACTACTGACCAAAAATTTCATTACACTAAAGACAGACTTTACAGAATGAAACTCGCAAACCTTTCATTACACTAAAGACAGACTTTACAGAATGAAACTCGCAAACCTTTCATTACACTAAAGACAGACTTTACAGAATGATACTGACAAACCTTTCATTATACTAAAGACAGATTTTTACAAAATGATACTCACAAACCTTTCATTACACTAAAGACAGATTTTACAAAATAGTCCTCATAAACCTTTCATTACACTAAAGACAGATTTTACATAATGATACTGACAAACCTTTCCTATTTCGGTACTTAAGGATTAAAATTTTAGAACAGAACACTACTGATACACTTTAACAATGAACACTGATAGTATCTTTCAACTGATACACTTTAACAATGAACACTGGTAGTATCTTTCAACTGATACACTTTAACAATGAACACTGATAGTATCTTTCAACTGATACACTTTAACAATGAACACTGATAGTATCTTTCAACTGATACACTTTAACAATGAACACTGGTAGTATCTTTCAACTGATACACTTTAACAATGAACACTGATAGTATCTTTCAACTGATACACTTTAACAATGAACACTGGTAGTATCTTTCAACTGATACACTTTAACAATGAACACTGGTAGTATCTTTCAACTGATACACTTTAACAATGAACACTGATAGTATCTTTCAACTGATACACTTTAACCAATGAACACATGATAGTATCTTTCAACTGATACCCTTTAACAATGAACACTGGTAGTATCTTTCAACTGATACACTTTAACAATGAACACTGGATAGTATCTTTCAACTGATACACTTTAACAATGAACACTGGTAGTATCTTTCAACTGATACACTTTAACAATGAAACACTGGTAGTATCCTTTCAACTGATACACTTTAACAATGAACACTGGTAGTTATCTTTCAACTGATACACTTTAACAATGAACACTGGTAAGTATCTTTCAACTGATACACTTTAACAATGAACACTGATTGTATCTTTCAACTGATACACTTTAACAATGAACACTGATTGTATCTTTCATTCAACTGATACACTTTAACCAATGAACACTGGTAGTATCTTTCAACTGATACACTTTAACAATGAACACTGATAGTATCTTTTCGAACTGATAACACTTTAACAATGAACACTGGTAGTATCTTTCAACTGATACACTTTAACAATGAACACTGGTAGTATCTTTCAACTGATACACTTTAACAATGAACACTGATAGTATCTTTCAACTGATACACTTTAACAATGAACACTGATAGTATCTTTCAACTGATACACTTTAACAATGAACACTGGTAGTATCTTTCAACTGATACACTTTAACAATGAACACTGATAGTATCTTTCAACTGATACACTTTAACAATGAACACTGGTAGTATCTTTCAACTGATACACTTTAACAATGAACACTGGTAGTATCTTTCAACTGATACACTTTAACAATGAACACTGGTAGTATCTTTCAACTGATACACTTTAACAATGAACACTGGTAGTATCTTTCAACTGATACACTTTAACAATGAACACTGATTGTATCTTTCAACTGATACACTTTAACAATGAACACTGATTGTATCTTTCAACTGATACACTTTAACAATGAACACTGGTAGTATCTTTCAACTGATACACTTTAACAATGAACACTGGTAGTATCTTTCAACTGATACACTTTAACAATGAACACTGATAGTATCTTTCAACTGATACACTTTAACAATGAACACTGGTAGTATCTTTCCATCTATCCAGATCTTCGTCTTCATGTTCAGTGGGCGTAAACTTCAGCGGAAAGTTCTGGTTGTTCATCCAACTCTGGACTACAGATTCGTTCAAAAACCTGAGTGTTGCGTGCACATCCATTTTACAGATCTGACTTAATTGTAGGCAGATTGTCGGTTCCTTGCCTCTCAGGCAGATGCACTCTGACCGTGAAGGAAACCCACCAATTAGTCCACTCTTAAGACATGCTTGCTGAGGGAGGCAGTGGGTCTATTCTTGTTTTTCCCCCCACAATGGAGCCCCGGAACCCACATGGGGAAATCTGTCTAGATGATAATATTAGACTGTGCTACGGGGAGCCAAACGAATCACAGTCCATGGCGATGGTGAGTGCACCTGTAAGATCAAACCGACTTTACAAAGAGGAAATTCTTCCACAAATAGAGCAGGGGATTTCATGGACCACTGTTGCCATTACATGTAATTAACGTAAAACAATGAACATAATACTACACTAGGTGGCGCGGTGATTTCGGTCACAGGCATGAGGGAAAGTTAAGTCTGATGTGATGGGTATAAGGAGATATTCCGTACCCCACTCGGGCACCAGTCCTTGACCGTTCTGGTTTTACGGAACCTCATGCAAGACTCCTGCTGCACGTCCCCGTCATGCGCCACGGATAATGTCTCAAATGAGCATTAACAGAGTTGGCAGGGGATCTCGGAGCTGGCGGCCCCTAGAGGTGTAGTGTCCTTTCTGGCTCTCACCAGCCCGCCCCCAAACGCATGAGTGAAAAGTCTATCAAAACTCATTCGGAACACGAGTAAGGATTGCTTGCCAAATGTACCATCAAATGACAACTCTCGGTTAAAAGTCTGGAGCGAATGGAAAACTGTGCTGCTGAGACTCAACCCTTGACCGAGAGATTAACCCGCAGCCAAGACGGGTAACATCTCTTGTGGGCTATTTATCACAGCAAGATCCTACGTACGTACATCCTCTGTCAATCCTCAGCGTCGTCGTCACCGCGCTGAGGTACACCACGGCAGCAACTTTTAACCTGCTGGCTAGGAAATAATGTCTGACAAAGTTAAATCCTACGGCACACATGCAAGCTCAAAGTCCGACGATCATAATTCGTACCGATTAGGAAAAGTCCAAATGTCCGTATCCACTGGTCCCACTCGCCCGAGTGTTGGGACTGAACAGGCGAAGCCACGCCTGACGCATGTTGCTTCCCCATTCTGTCGTGCTAAGGGCACAGTTGAAACAACGTTAAAGGTGTCTAACGTACGATGAAAAAAGAATGTACCTATTTGTGTGGCCACAAAAGTCCTGGACCTGCGGGCTGCTCCCCGCTGATCTCCGAAGAGTACAGCCTTGTAGCGCGGGAAGCTCAATACACTGTTGTGAGGTTAAGCAGTCATGGGCAGGACGTGACGATTCCTTGGGTGAGCACAGAACCAGAGCATCATGTGTCGGCTCTGCGTTTATGGAAGCCTCCTTGGATGGCGGGGAATGCCCATGCTCTGCCCCTGCCTTCCCTTGAGGGCTGACAACTCTACCTAAGGCTGCCTTAAGGAGGGTTTTCTGGGGGCCACACCTGTTAAAGGTCAAAGAGGACACCACACAAATGATGCAACATCTCGACCCACACAAAACAATGGCCACAGTCAACCTAGAAATAGGCTTGACGTCTTCCCTCGAAGTCGGAGTACATCTGCCGGAGAGGCAGGGAACGAGGACTGCAAACAAATAAGCCAGTAAAACGGATGTTCACTCAAAACTCAGGTCAAGGTAAAAGCCAAAAGTCCATTTGGATGAACAACCGCGACTTACTACATTAGGTGCTTTATTAATAGCCTACCCCAAACAGGGGAAATCCACAGGTCACGGGACAGTCTAATATTTCAGGGGGTGGCAGATAGGCTGCAGGCAGTCGAGGGACCTAGGCTGCACTCTCTCGTGGGACATAGGTGGGTTGGGGTTAGGGCCAGTTCTAAGTGTTTTGGGGTAGTTAAAAGCATCAGAAAGCCAGGAAACCCAGTCTTACCACCCTCTAAAATATTGGACTGTCCTGTGAGGTCATCTGGGGTAAGATATCACGAAAGAACCCTACATTAAAGGCAGACTAAATAATGTTGTTGATAAAACCTTTACCACATCAATGATCAGTCACACAAGAGAATGCAAGTTAAAACTCCCTCGGCAGTTTCCTACAATAAACTCACCGTGTCTCCGGGCATCCTCATCCACGATTTCCCTGGACTCAGATCTTCGGGGCTGGGACAGATCTAACAAGCTTCGAGCAATCTCTGTGTCAATACTGTGAGGGCTGATGGCTGAAAGAGAAGGCAATATCTTTTACTGATTTAAGAATCCATATCATAGCACACTGGGCATACCCACGGATGCTCCGTCTCCTGCAGTGAATGTTTTCAGGTGCTAACTGTTCCCGTAACATGGTCTATTCTTGTTTTCCTTACAACTAGGCCCCAGAACCCACACGGGGATTTCTGTGAATGATACTAATAATAAGTAGAAGAAGAAGATGGTAATACTGTGAATGATACTAATGATAAGTAGAAGAAGATGGTAATACTGTGAATGATACTAATGATAAGTAGAAGAAGAAGATGGTAATACTGTGAATGATACTAATGATAAGTAGAAGAAGAAGATGGTAATACTGTGAATGATACTAATGATAAGTAGAAGAAGAAGATGGTAATACTGTGAATGATACTTATAATAAGTAGAAGAAGAAGATGGTAATAACATCAAAGGAGGTGAACAAGAGAACAAGGACAAAATAAAGAAACAAAAAAAAACTCTACAACAACAACAACAAAAAAGAAATTGGGCTACAGTAGTGTCCCATAAGTTTCCATGCATAAGAAAACTACACATTAAAAAAAAAAGTTAAACACTGCTATCCCATAATGTATTTAAATAACGCGGACACAAACAACACACTGCACAATTCATTGCCAGACATATTCCGCAGTTTCCTGTCAGGTGCGTTACTACACAGTTATACGAACACTGTACAATGCACAACGACTGTTTGCGTCCGCATTATGACCATTTTTTAAAAATGACAACCATTTTTATTTATATAATACGCTCTACATCTACGACTGTTTTGAAAACACATTTCGATGTGTGTCCACCACACGTGTCCAAAACACGTTGAGCACAGCTGGAGTTACGCTTGTAATGGCATTGGTGAAATGTTTTTTTTTTTATATGTATGAAAACTTATGGGACAAGCTAGGTATGCTGCAGCCAAACTTGACTGTACAGACCACTCAGTTTTTTTTTTTGTTTTTTTTCAACAAGATGACGCCCTAATTTTTCTATGGTGTGAATCTCTTACAAATGTTCAAAAGCCACTAGAACGGTGTTTTAAAATAAATAGTCCGCCGTAGAATATAACACTAATACGCTGAGGATCGTGTAATTGTGAAACACATTCACTAACCCCTAAGCCAAACATCATCACTGTCCTGTTGTGCTGTTATTTGTCCTATAGGGCTCACAGTCTATTTCTCCATTCCATTCTATCTTGTGCCATCCTTTTGATATCAAGGATGTAAACCTTCTTCTTAGTGTTGAGCAGCTGCTAACTATGGCGAAAAGTCCTAGTTGTTCATCCAATTCTGGACTTGAGTCCCGTTCCAGAACCTGAGTGTTGCGTGTACATCCGTTTGACAGATCTAACTCATCTGTATGCAGACTGCTGGCTCCTTGCCTCTCAGGCAGATGCACTCTGACTTTGAAGGAAGCTCCCAATAAGTCGATTCTTATTACATGCTTTTTGGTAGGCAGTAGATCTATTCTTGTTTTCCTCCGGAAACCACAAGGATGTAAACCAATCCAGCACCTTTGGCTTTTCTCATCAATGTTCGTTTCAAGGTTTCTTTTCAACGTCCTCACTTCCTTAATCTTTTTATCTCCCATTTTACTGCCTGCTTGGTGATCTTCTGCTGGTTCCTTCTCAGGATGTGTCTAATACAGCGCCATCTTCTCTGACTTATAACTGTTGACCCAAGTGGTTGCCCAGACATTTCTCTTATGTCTTGACCCCTCTTGAATTCATCCCATTTTGTTTTTAACATTTACCTCAGGTATTTCTATTCAAATACATTTTAACATTCGTTCCATGTCTTTAGCTGTTCTCCAACTTTCACTGGCAAATGTTTAAACTCCAATAACATGAGAACTGAAAATACATAACTTGGTTTTAAAACTATACAATTTAGAGGTCCATATTTTGTTCTGGCTTTTAGAAGCTGCTGTTGCCTGGCCAATACGTGTCATAATTCTAAGCCACACAGCAAGAACATAATATCCAGCACAATATGTGGTTTCCATACCTTGATTTTCCACAGATGACTGTGAAGAATATGCCAGGTTGGATGAACTTGACAATTCTCTGCTTCTGAAAAAACAGTTATACTAATTACAACAAATTCCAGCAACAAAAAGTCAAACAATCTTCTATAGATGTGGAAGGCAAGTGAAAGCAACCACATTAATTTCCCTGGAGTAAACTTTTGATGTTTGGAGATGCAGCTGGGTCTTGAACTTGAATCCATAAAAGTCGGATTTAAAAAATACATTATGCATTAAGTAGGCCTTATCTGTAAAAAAAAGATGTCCATACAAGTGGATGAACAACCAGAACTTCCCACTAGCGTTAATAGCCGGTGAATGCTAAGAAGAGGAGGAGGAAGAAGAAGAAGAAGTAGAAGAACAAGAAGAAGAAATGACTGATGTACCAATGGTATGAAAAAGGTCCTTTACTTTTCACTAAACTTTAACCCTCTAGCCCCCACAGAAAGCAATCTTCCCGCTTAGATGGGTTTTGGTTCACACGATAGTTTCGATGAGTGCCCAGTAAGCCAGTATGACAGCTCTGGTAATGGCTGCAACATTTACCCACAAGAATTCGTTAGATATTATCTGGGCGAACATTAAAAAAAATTTTTTGTTTACCAAATTTTGGATTCACCAAGACGACATACAAATTCATTATTATGTCACAATGGTCACATTTTTTTCCGTATTTGATTACAAAGTAACATGAACGTATACAAAATTATATTACTAATATCGCTGTGTGGGTTCCAGGGCCCCATTTTGGGGAAGGGGGGGGGGAAGAGAAAACAGACCCACTTCCTCTCTATCGAGCATGTTTTAAAAGACGACAGATTTGAGGTGTTTCTTTTAAGGTCAGAGTACACCCGTCCGAGAGGCAAGGAACCAAAAGTCTGCACAAATGTAAGCCGGATCTGTGAACAGGAAGTGCATGCAAAACTCCAGGTCTGGAACAAGAGTCCTGAAGTGGAAGAACAACCAAACTTTCCGCTGGGCTGACATCACGCTGAACAGTAAGAAGAAGAAAATAACACTGACATTATTGCTTGAATAAAAGCAGGTATTTGTACGTGCAAAAAGAAAGTCCTAAAGAATCTTCTGAAGCAAAAAATATAAGACCCACTCTTGGGAAAGGTTGGGGGGGGGGGGAAGAGGAGGGGGGGGGGAGGGGGGAGGGGAAAGAGGGGTGGGGGAGGAAGGGGGGGGAGGAGAGGGGGGAAGGAGGGAGGGGGGAAGAGAGAGGAGGCACAGTAGCAATAATTTAAGTTTGGATTTTCTGCTATTTATGAAATGACACCAAGAAAACACATTTCAATACAAGCACAAAATGGATATACAAAAAAAAAAAAAAATCCAGGAAAAGGCGTGGGGGCAGAGTTAAAATGATGTATGATTACCTTAATCGTGACCCCATCTGACCCAAAAGTGGTCGCGATTTTTGGCTTTGGCCATATGAAAAAACAGGAGATGGCTCGTCAACTGAAGATTGTCTGTGAAAAAAAAAAAAGAGATGACCCTTTAGTATTCATTTTGCTTGGCTTTTCTTAAGTAAAAGTAAAGGTCCCTATTCCACGCTTTTAGGCATATAGGGCTAGTCCTATAGTTTTATAGACAATCGGTACAAGATGAGGGATGTGGTCAGCATCACACCAGCTGCCTTTACTTCCCAGGACTGCACCCGGTACCCACTCAAGGCTGGGTCGACCTGGGAGCCAAGGTCATTCTTGGGAAAAAGACCGGCCTCGCCAAAGAGCGAACCCACGACCTCCCGTTTGCTTTTCTAAACAGACACAAATTAGTAGGCAGCAAAAGTCTCCTTCATCTTCTTAGTGTTCACCAAATGTAAACTCCGGTGGTGGAGAGTTCAGGTTGTTTGTCAACTTGGGCACTTTAGCCTTGTTCAAGAACTTGAGTTTTGCGTGCATATCTGTTTTTACAGATCTGGCTTATTTGTATGCCAACTGCTGGTTCCTCATTTCTCAGGCAGATGCACTCCGACTTTGAAGAATCTCCCTAATTAGTCTACTCTTATGAGACGCGTGTTTGAGTGTGGGGTGGGGGTGGGGTGTCGAACTCAGACTTGAGTTAGAAGAAGAACGGGGCACTTATGGGTTACCATCCGTGTGCCATGATGTTGATCCGTTGTTCAAACTTCAAACTTGTGGCATTCCTCCATGAAATACACAATCTATCCCCCCAACAATTCCAGTTTTAACAAATCCCTAAATTAGTCACCTATTATTACATTTTTATCAACCAGCAATAGGTTGGAAAAAAAATGAAATCTGGTAACCATGCTAACATGCCAGATTGCAGTTTAAAACCTGTAAAAAAAATACTGACCTTTTAAGTACACGGGATGACCCCGATATGGATCTCTCCTGGTCAAATGACTGGTCATCAGTATCTTCCCTGGACATGCTGTCATCTTCCTCATCATCGTCCTCATCACCTTCATCATCTTCTCCATCCCCATCCTCGTCATCATCTTCGTCGTCGCCAGAGACCATCTGGGCATCGATGGAGTCATGGATATGAGCTTCTCTGGAAATGCGGCACTGCTCTTCTAAGGCTGCAGGGTCGATCTGAGAGTCATCTACAGCGGTGGGCACAGGAATAATCCCCAGCTCAAAGCACTTCTTCTGGTGGGACTGCAAAAAAACAAGGGAGGTAGTGAATAATGATGTCCATTTAATTACTTAGTGAACAGTGCAACAGAATAGACACAGCATCCTTAGCTGAAGAGACTAAGCATTGAGTGCTGAACTAAGAATTGACATTACAGCACTTGGGACATTCCCATAAGTGCTCAAATCTTATCTTCGGCAGCCAGAGAAGAGGTACAATTTCGACTGGGCCAGTAATAGTTGACGATATGTCCATCTTGCTTTCCTTCTGAGTGTAGAGTGCCGACTATATGCCCTGTAACCCCTGGATGTACTATTCTCTCCAGACCATAACAGTCTATTCATGCCTCCGCAGTGTTCAACTGCTCAGAAAGAGCCTTGACCATATGTGGTAATGCTGACAGATGCTAAATCAGTACTTGAAGCACTCCAGTCTAGGAAACTACCAGAATTGCAAACACTGCTGTCACAACTCAGCCTTCAACAAAGAGTCGTAATGCAGTAGATACCGTCTCATTGTGGAGTGCCTGAAAATGAGAAAGCTGATCAACTGGTAGGGGAAGGTCCGACAAAAGAGCAGACGGATGTACCAGTCACATACCACCAAAAGAAAAGAATCATTAAATCGATCAGGAAACCACCAGCCCCTGCAAAGACGACTATTTTATTATGGACAGACCAGAACAAGTCATTATCCTCCGCCTCAGAACAGGGCACAACCGATTACGTAACCACATGTACACAAAATTCAAGATAGGTGTATCAGCCATGTGCACCTGTGGAAATGTGCCCCAGACAGCAGAGCATGTACTCCAGGACTGCACCGAATTTGACACATTAAGGCAAACCTTTTGGCCAGAAAGAACAACAGGGGAACGTAAACTCTATGGACCACTGAATGAACTAACAATGACAGTGAAATTTATACAAGAGACAAAACTGCTGATATAGACAACTTATTTCCAGCCAACGAAAGAATAAGAGGAAGCCTTGACCAAACATAATTTGCATAAATTCACCACCCAATTATGCACAACATGTCAATCTGCCTGTTCATTTCCCAATACTCTTGCATACCCTACAGAAAAAAATCCAAAGAACGCCAACTACCTGGGACCTTTGAAGCGATACCTGGATACATCGATTCAGCTTGGACTGTGCCGAAGGTCTGGACAATGTTCTACCCGTAGGAAAAAAAAGAACAAACTTTTAATCAGGCTCCAGTTGGCACCATTGGTATAGGAACTCTTTGTTGGCTACTAAGAAAGGAGACAGAGTGTGCAAGGGAATGTCCCAAGAGCAGAGAGGTCAATTCTGGACTCATTCATTCAATGACTACAAAAGCAAGCGAGGTGGTGAACAATGATCCTCCATGCCATGATGTCGAACGTACAGAATCTTCTCACCTGGTCTCCCACAAATCCCCTTTAGCTCTCCAACCATTACCCTGTACTCCAGTTTTCCTCTTCTCATCACAGGACCAAAGAATGTAAATTGTCTCTTTCTGATGTGGAACATCAGATCTCTTCATGATTTAGTTTTTTTTAAAGACATCTTCATTACTCTTTTATCCCTCCAGGTTATTCTCATCATTCACCAATAAAATCCACCACTTCCAAATAATGTTTCACTAATCCTGCAGCTGTGCATGATTCTCTTTCCTATATCAGGATAGGAATTTTATCTTCTTAGAGTCCATGCTGTGTGGTAGTCATGTCTATTCACGACCTTCTGTCTTCTGTACTTTCAATAAACTCCGACACAGATGATCTTCCATGCCATGATGTCAGACTGTCCAGCATCTGTTCTCTCAGTCTCCCTCAGCCTCTCCTCCCCTCCAACTTTCCTACCGTCACAATGTACTCCACTTTTCTCCTTCTCGTCACATGACCAAAGAATGTAGATTGTCTCTTTCTGATGTGGGCAATCAGTTCTCTTCATGGGTCATGTTTCTTTCAAGACATCCTCATTACTCTTTTTATCTGTCCAGGGTATTTTCTTCATTTGTCTATAAAACCACATCTCCACAGCTTTCAAATAAGTTTTCACTAATGTACCAACTGTCCATGATTCACACCCGTATATCAATATAGGATTTATACAACTTTTAAGAATTCTCTTTCTCGTCTCAACTGACAAAGAAAGATTGCATAAAATATTCTTCATTTTGTTGCCTTTGCTTGAGCTATATTTATATTTTTAGGAGAGGATTAATATAGCTCTTGAGAATGCTCTTTCTCATCTCAATCAACAAAGACTGCCTTTACTTCCCATGATATTACCTGGTATCTGTTTTAGGTTGGGCCCACCTGGGAGCCAAGGTCAATTTTGAAGAAGAAAACCACTACTATGATGCAGATTTGAACTCAAAAGCTTGTCAAAGGGCACCATTTTGGAGGGAAAAGAACAGACTTGCTATCCCCCTAAAAATATGACTACTTAAGTATCTGTTGAAGAGAAAGATGCAAGACCTACCTGAGCTTCCATGCCTGATCTACTATCCATATCCGCAGCAGCCTCACTGCCATGTTCTACGACACTGAAGAAGAAGAAGAAGAAGAAGAAGAAGAAGAAGAAGAAGAAGAAGAAGAAGAAGAAGAAGAAGAAGAAGAAGAAGAAGAAGAAGAAGAAGAAGAAGAAGAAGAAGAAGAAGAAGAAAAAGAAGAAGAAGAAGAAGAAGAACTATTTTCCTCCGGCCAGCCAACACAAACAAGACAACCTACCTTTGACTTCATATGCTTCGTCAGGTTCCCCTTTGTTTTGAACGAGAACTTGCAGTGGCGGCAGTGATAAGGCCGCAGGTCTGTGTGAGTCCTCAGGTGCTTCTTCAGCATGCTTGGCTTCTTGCAGCGGATCCCGCAGATCTCACAGATGTACTTCCCCCAGCCTCGGCCCCGGATATATTCGTATTTCTCGTTGCTCTTGAAACCGCCTTTAGCCAAGCGCAGTTTGAGACGTTTGCTTTCTTTGGCTGACTCAGTCTTGATGGCACTGCTAGACTTGGAGTCTTCACTCTGTGGACAGCAGAATAAGTTATACATTTGAATAAATAAGACAAAAACGACAGATTGCACAATTTATTGTCTGGCATATTTCGTCAGGTGCATACTACAGTAACGAATACATAAATGAAACAGATAAGTGAATCCTGAAGTACAAATTCAACAATAATCAAATGCAACTGCCTGTTTTACCAAGGCAGCTGGCAGTGTCAGAACCATATCTTTTTGTATACAGATTCAGGGTGCAGGTGATGAATCGCCACAGCTTCAAGAAATCTTGGCTTTCTTCTACTGGCTGATGTGTGCAAGATTTGAAATGCGTTGTCTCTAGTTACAGTGTGTCCAGATTTTAAAAGATGGCATGCTGTTGCGGAGGGATGGTCTTTACAGCCATTATTCTCATTTGAATATAATTTTGCATGGCTTTTCCCACCCATACTGGAATATGCTAAACATCCCAGGGTATGCAGGCGTTGTTGGTAATGAGAGAGCTGATAGACTGGCAGGCACTGCATTAATTGAAGATGGCCGGCCCATGGATCACGCAGACATTGTCATTGCCCTTGGAGAGATAGGACGTTCTGAGGATTTTGAAAGCAACGTGTCCACATCACTGCTTAGAATACGCGAATTGGGAGTTAAGATCGGCCCAGCTAAGCATGAGAAGCACACCGGACGCACATGAAGTCTTGTTAACCAACATAGGACTGGCACTATTAACCGTGCGACGCTGATGAATATGTTGAGAGGGGAATCTGAGCTCCTATGGATGCGTCCGGAGTGCTGTGAAGATAATCTAACTCATAAGCTAAACGACTCGTTTCTCCAGGCGTCTATCAGTTCTGCCCGCACTAGCAGTTTCATAGCTGCATTTAAACTAGTAGATACATTTTGTCTAGCATACGTCAACACTGACCTTGGCTTCTAGGTCAACCCAGCTTTGAGTGGGTATCCAGGTGCAGTCCCGGGAAAGTGAAGGCGGTCGGCGTTATACTGACCACATCACCCATCTTGTGCAGATTGGTCTATAAAAATATAGGTCTAGCCCTATATGCCCTATACGCTTTAAGGCGTGGAAAAAGGGTCCTTTACTTTTTTACTTCACTTATTCGTCAACACTGGTCGTTTCATCAAGGGCGCTGGATCTGTTCTGAAACTAAATGATGAAATAAGTTATACCTTTTCTCCCTGTGACGGTTCTAGGGCCCCACTGTGGAGAAAACAAGAAATTACACAATGCCTCCACAGAAAGCATGTGATAGACATCATCTAAATAGGGGCTTCCTTTGAAGTTGGAGTGCATTAAGAGGCAAGGAATCAAGAGTTTCCATACCAATAAGACCAGATCAGTCAAATGGATGCGAACACAACAACTCAGGTTCTGAAACAAGTTAAAGTCTGCAGGTGGATGAATAATAAGAACCTTCCACTGAAGTTTACCAACGGTGAAAGTGAAAAAGAAGAAAATGGTACTCATCACAAATTTGCCAGAACGGCCGTCGCAGGACTTTATTTACTATACTGTACTGGATATTACTTTCCCTTTACAATTTATTTCTCTCTAAACAGCAATGATGAAAGAAGATATTGTAAAACAAAATGTCAAAAAAAAATGTTGCAATCTGCTTATCGAAAATCCCTATGCAGATTCTGGCGACACATTGTGTGACAAAATGGGGGTTGGGGGGATGGGGGAGAGACAAACTGATTCTTTAACAAGCATGTCGTAAAAGTCGACTAATTAGGGGCATTCATTCTCTTCGAAGTCTGAGTGCATCCTCCTGAGAGGCAAGGAAACAGCAGTCTGCTGACAAACAAGCCAGATCTCAGGTCTGTTAAGTGGATGTGTAAGCAACACTTAAGTTCAGGCAAAAGACTAGTCTAGGAGGGGATGACCATCCAGAACCTTCCAGTGGATTCTACAGCCAGGGAATGCAAAGAATGGGTTATGTAGGAGTGCGAGGAAATGAAAGAGCAGATATACTGGCTACAAAAGCTATAGCTATAAGAACATTTCTACTGAAGAAAGAAGATATTCAGAAGACCATTTATAAACGAATGCTGATAAAATATATGAATTTAGAGGAAATGTCGTGTAAGGTTGTGTGAATAAGGAATTAGGTGTTAGTTAGTTAGTTAGTTGGGTTATCATCATTGCACTCCGGACATGTCCATAGGTGCTCAGATCCTCCCCTCAGTATGAACCCCAACGTCCGATGGCTAATAGTACCAGTTCTATGTTGATTAACAAGTCTTCTGACGTATCCGGTGTGCGTCTCGTTTTTTGCTGTGCCGATCTTAATTCCCAAGTCTGCCATTCTGGCGAGTGATGTGGATTCACTGCCACCAAAGTCCTCTATCCTTCCCATTTCTCTGAGGGCATTGATAATATCAGCATGATCCATAGGCTGACCGTCGGTAGTGATAGCGGATCCAGCCAACCTGTCAGCTCTTTCATTTCCATCGACGCCTGCGTGTCCCGGAACAAAAATAAAGGTGACTCCACGCACAGTGGACTTCTGAATTGATTCAAGCCATTGTCTTCGCACTGAACCTGCCTGAACCGTCCGGATCATACTCATTGAATCACTGAGTATACACACGCGGGTGTATTTTTGTGTTTCAAGCCAGGCAAACGCTTGCGTCACTGCCGCTGGTTGTCATGGAGAAGGCGCCGTTGGCTTCTTTGACTGTTTTGCCCGCTGAGCGTGCTGTAAATGCCCATGCGCTTCTTCTTTGGCGTATAACGGATCCGTCTGTATAGATTAGTGCATCTGCTTCGTCTGAATTTTCACAGATGAGAGCGTTGACCTCTGCATTAACAGCAACAGGATTCTCTTCTCTACATCGCCTGTTGAGTGTGACAATGCAGGAAAATGTACAAATAAACGCCTGAGGCACAGGTATCCATTCTGCCCCAGGTATGATGTCAGTTAGGCTGCATATTTGCCTGATAACATAAGGAATTAGGTGTGTATCGGGCAAGCAGGGACGTATTAGAAGAAGAGAACGATAAGTTTGTAATCAGTGTGCTACAGGAACAGTTAGCACTAACACCTGAAGTCAATTGCTGTGGGAGATGGAGCACCTTTAGGTAATGCCTGTGTGCTATGACGCTGATTCTGAAATAAGCAATTAGCAATCAGAATATAAAGAAGAAGCTTCATGAAAAACAGACCAACCTTGACTTCAGTTGTTTCCTTCTTGACTCCAGCCAACTTCTTCCGGTGGTAAGTCCAGTAGGAGCTGTGCGTCTGGTTACCTCCATTGCCAGGTGTCATGGAGCACTGAGCATACACTGGGTTGCAGACGTTTCTGTTTAAAAAAAAAACAAACAACCTCCAATGATGTAATTTCCAATCTGGCAATAAAAGGATACTCAAAACCTGAGAACAATACAACTAGAAGAGCTTTAGACTAGAACTTACAGGGGCACATAAATAAAGGCAGACTGAAAGAACAATGCATGGAAAAGGAATTTAGAGAGTAAATACAAAAAAAAAAAAAACATGGGGAGGGCTTGGGATCAGCTGCAAGGGATAGCAAAGGAAAAGACAACATGGTATGAGTTGGTTGAGGGCCTATGCTTCATTGGGGGATAAAGGGCAGAAAAAATAGAAGAAATTTTTTGTTTTGTTTTTGTGGGGTTTCTCCCAGGTCGACTCAGCCTTGAGTGGGTACTGGGTCCAGTCTCTTTACTTTTGTGTGGTTTCTATGAGGTTCATGTCTATGATGTCCGAATCAACAAGTCTTTACTGTTTGCAGGAAAATGTGACCTAGTGGATCTGGTCGCATAAGCCAGCCTACAGACAAGCCTAGTTCCTGTTTGGATTCTAGGGCCCCATTTTGGGGACAAAAGAACAGACCAACTCCCACTCCCCAAGTAAAAGTCGACTAATTAGAGGTGCTTCCTTTGAAGTCAGAGTGCATCTGCCTGAGAGGCAAGGAACCAACAGTCTGCATACAAATAAACCAGAAATGTAAAAACAGATGTGCATGCGAAACTCAAGTCCTGGATGAAACAAGACCAAATTTCAGTGGTGGATGAACAACCGGAACTTTCTTCTGGAGTTTACTGAAGGCGAACACTCAAGTCAAATACTAGCAAAAAATTAAACTGTAGATATGTGATCTGCAACTTGTGTGGCATGCTCCCCTCCCCACCGTATCCGTGATGGGATGGTGGGTGGGGTGGTTGGGGGGGGGATGCATGAGGAAGTTTCAATGAAGGGTGGGGGGGGGGGGGGGGCATCAAACAATTTTGAAACTGAATGCATTTGTACATGGGGCGAGGGGGGGCTGAGTGGTCTCGAGGCATAGAGTGGTCTCGAGGCCCGGCACACATGTGCACTGCGCTGAGATTCTTCGGACTCAGGTTTGAGTTAGAAGAAGAATGGAGTGCTCATGGGTTACCACCCTTGTGCCATGATCTGATCCGTTGTATAAACAAACTTGTAATAATCATAATTTTCAGCTTCAACAGTCATGAAAATAAAACAAGCATTTCTAGCTTGATATGGAGAGTGATCTCCATTGTGCCTTGTCTAACATAAGACTAAAAAATAGCAGACATCATCAAGACAAAACAGTGTCAATCATCACGCTGATATTTGAGAAATAGGACGTTCTGAGGATTTTGGAAGCAACGTGTCCACATCCCTGCTAAGAATACGAGAACTGGGAGTAAAGTGTGGCACAGCCAAGCATGAGAAGCACACCGGACGCACATGAAGTCGTGCTAACCAACATAAGGACTGGCACTATTAACCGTGCGACGCTGATGAGTATGTTGAGAGGGGAATCTGAGCACCTATGAATGTGTCCGGAGTGCTGTGAAGATAATCTTACTCATAATTTATAGCTGATGTTTGGACACTAAATTATCAGTTGTTCATAATTATTTCTTTTGTTCACCTCGTTTTAATCTCATTTTTTTCATGTTGACTTCAGAGGTCCCAGGTAGTTAGCATCCTTTGGATATTGTCTCCAGGTCACGCCAGTGTGTTGGGAAATGAGCAGGCAGATAGACTGGCTGGCTCTGCACCACTAGGTGGTGAATTGATTATGACAAGTTCGACATTGTAAGGGCCCTTTGGGAATGGGTGAACTGCGGAGGCGCAGATAGATCATTACGGTCTGAGGAGAATGGCGCTGCAAGAAGTTACCAGGGGATCTAGCCGACACTCAACACTCAGGGGAAGGATGAGACACATATACAATCAGATGGTTACTGATACCATCATAATTGGAACTCTTCGCTTGCTGCTGAAGATAGGGACTGAGCACTTAAGGGAGTATCCCGAGTGTTGTGATGTCTGTTCTTAATTCAACATTTGTTAATGTTGGGCCTTTCAAGGAGATCGGAGTGAGAGTGGGGGCGGGGGGGGGGGGGGGGAGGCAGGGTCTTGACATATGCTCATGGGGTATGCTGACAGATGTTCGAACCATCTGATCTGTTGTTTCTTGATGTAGTGTAGAAGCGGCTCCGTCCCAATTTGTTTCCTGACATCGTCATTTCTGATCCTATTTCTTTTTTTTTTGGGGGGGGGGGGGGGGGGGGGGAGTTTTAGAAACTGTCAAGGACATTTCATTTCTGTTGTTTAGATTTGTCTTTTTATGTTAATATCTATGACTCGCACTGGTAACACGTTGGTAAAAATTTGGTAAAAATACTTTAGTGCAGTGATTCCAAAACTGTCCGCCGTGGCGCCCCAAGGAGCCGTGACCTCTTCCCAGGGGCGCCACAAAGTATTGTAAAAGCTTCATAAATAATTTAACCAAGACATTTGGCCTAACTAAACAAAAATGTGAAAAGCTAAAATTATAAAGATTTTTTTGGGGGGGTTTGATTTGTTTTTATTTGATCCTGTGTGAAAATAAAGGCGCCGGTGCAGAATATCCTTGATAACGCGTGCCGGCAACGCTCATCCTTCCCATTAATTGTTAATTTAATGTTAATAAAGAAAAGAAAATAACGAAGTTACACAAGTTTTATTTGCTTTTATCTCTTACTTACAAATAGTCATACTTTTACATGGGTTAGGGCACCGTGGACAAATTTACATTTAAAAAAAAGGGGCTGCGACTCAGAAAAGTTTGGGAAGCACTGCTATAGTGATAGAGTTCTTTTAGTGTCAATAATGGAGCCCAGTTTTATGAAAGATTACTGGCATTGGATTTTTACAAGCACAAAGTGCACTCAGTTTTAACACTGACCGCAACCATGAAACTTTCCCCCCCAAGTTGGAGACTGCGGTTTCACAGGATGTTGCAGAACCAACAGAAGCATTTATTTGGTTGTTTATGGTTTTATCAGGCAATTTTATGTTTAGTAGTTTGCCATACATTCCTGAACGATCGGCCCTTGATACCACTGTTGAAATAACACAAAGCGGTCTGCTGGCACAATGGTGCAGCTTGAATCACAACTGGTATACTGGAATTATGAAGATATTACCACCCCCCCCCCCCCCCCCCCACACACACACACAATAGTAGACTATAAAATTCCTAACCTTGACTTATACAGTGCCAACAGCATGCGAGACGTCAGGCCAACAGGGTTTGGGTTATGAGTTGCCAGGCGCCAGTTGGAGTACATAGATATCTTTTTGCTTCCCTTCACTGCCACGTACATGGGCTGGGGGCGCTGGATGCAGCAGAAGGTTACATGCGTGGTCGTGTACAGGGTCGGGCACGAGTGGCCGTACATGGGCGTGTTTAGAGTTCCTGACGGTGTCACTGAGGAGATGTGTTGTTCGACAGAGGAGATTATTGCCGAGGATATTGAAGACGGAGACAGTAATGATGAGGTGGTAGTGTTCATTGCCAGTGCAGCGGACTTGACAGGTGTCAACAGCTGAAGAGCCTGGCTGGGTGAGAAGATGGCATGTGTCTGCTGCTGCTGCTGCTCCTCACTGGAAGGGGTTGCAGCTGCAGTGTCCGGAGTTCCTTTTCCTGGAAAGAGTCTCATTTTCAGCTGTATAGCTGCTGCAGCGTGCAGACCCTTGTCAAAGTGAAACGGAGACACCTGCGGGGAGTTTTTCAGCTCTGCACTCTGGTCTATGCTGCTGTCTCCAGAAATCTGCTTTCTGCGGGGTTCGTCTTTAGTCACGTCTATCGAATCAGGAGAAGGATACACAGGTGCAATTTTCATCTTGCCGGGATCGGCACTGCCTGGGGTCCCTGTGCTGGGGGTTTCAGATAAGGAGGATGATGAAGTAGAAGAAGAGTAAGACAGCAAGGCATGTCCCAGAAGAGCTGGTGATGGGTTGCCCTGTGCTAAAGCCATAGCCGTCATGGAGTCTAATGTCACTGGAGAGGATGAATGCCAAAGACGAGAGAGAATCTGGAAGTGACGATGCAGTGACAGCGACCTCTTCAGCAACCAGTTCTTCTGCTCTCTATGCCTCATCGCTGAACCTCCAACAGCCGGTAACTGAATTTTGGACCCAGCTAAGGTCAATGGCGACAGACTCACCTGCGAGCCGGTGATCCGGCTAGCGTGGTTCCATTCTGACAGCAAGGGACCACTCTGAAGGCGGCACACATTCACAAATGGGATTGCATAATTAATGGGGATTGTCACATTGTTGAAGTTATCCCCGGATAAATCTATCAACAGTTCGTTGCTATCCAGGCTTGCTATAGAAGCAGACTTTGGGAAGAAAAATGGTGCTTCTTGAGACACACTTCTAAGGCTGAGACCTGAATCAAAAGAATCTGCACCACTCTCAATCTTTGACGGAAAACTTGAAGATGTTTTTGAAGTCAGATCTTCAGGTCCTGCAGATGTACTGGGCTGACTTGTCTTTGGGGTTGGCAACAACTTGGACATGGGTCTAGAAATGGCTTGAACATTTTTACTTTCTATGCTCAATGGGGAGGGTTTTAACTGTTTGGACTTCCTCATCCTTTTGGCAATTGCTGGTTCTGAGAAAGCTCTCAGGACCGGTGGATGTGCTTTAGAGGCATCTGAAGTGAAGATGGTCTCTGATTCGGACCTAGTATACAAATCACTTGGAGTCTTGTCTGACTCTTTGATTCGCCCCATGACTGCAGATGTGATAACTGCATTGGGCAGGCTACCAAGTTTTTGAGAAGACACTGCCGGTTTGGTCAGAGAGGCCAACAGAGCTGAGTTGGAACCTGCCGCATTAGGTTTTGAAACTTGCTGATACATGATCACAGGAGAGGCGGATGCTGCCGCTGGAGCGGCATCAGAAATGTTTGCTTTCAGGAAGAAACCAGCTGGTGTAGCGGATGGCGAGTTCACAGCCAGTAGCTTCTCCTGACCTTTGTCTTGACTCTTCTCAACACTGAGAGACTGCTTCATTAGAAGTTTGTCCTTCAGCTTCCTTCGTGTGCCACTTAGATCTGTAGGAGTGTCAGGAGTTGCTGGTGTTACAGGTGTGCCTGGAGTGCCGGTACCTGTAGCTGTCAAAGTGAAAGGTGTAACCTGCGACATCCTGATCGGGGGATGCTGACCTACCTTCTGCTCCAGTGAAGGATTGGCAACTGAAAGGTTGCTACACAACTTACTGTTAGGGTCTATGCTGTGGAATGTAACTGCTGGAATGAAAGGTATAACACGGGGAGACAACTGAGAAAACTGAGAGCTACCTGCAGACTGGGCAGATTTTATATTTAGAGTCAGTCCGGAACTTGATGCCAGCTTGGACGATGCTGATGCCAAATTAGCCACATCCTGGCTCTGAGCTTTCAAAGGCTGGCCAGCCAGGGGGTTTGCTGGGGTCAGGGAAGTGACCGGTATCCCTGGGGTGCTGGAGGTAATTCCTGAGAAGGGAAATCCAATCATGAACCCTGCTGGTTTGGGTGTTCCGGGGGTCAGTGAGCTTACAGGTGTCCCTGGACTTAAAACTGACACTGTGTTAGTTCCTGTGAACGTGAGACCTGGCAGAGACACGCCAGGTGCAAACTCCAACAGCGGTACACCTGGAGTGATGCCGGCTTTGGATGTGGTGATAAAACTGGCCTTTGCTGGGTTTGCCATGGTGAGTCCAGAACTCAGCTGTCTAACAATCTTGCCACCCGACATGACCGGCACCATTGGCTGGCCGATCATGGTGCTGCTGGACATGGTCACTGTGCTGGTCAGCAACTGGTTTATGGCTGATGATGCTGCAGAAGTTAAAGCAGAGGATGTTAATGACAGGTCAGGGAAGTCAGGGACTACAGAGGCTGCTTGGGTTGTTAGTGTCCCAGATCTGGGCAACAGGAGTTTTCCGTACTGTCCTTGCAGCAGCATTAACTTGTTTTGTGATGGCACAGACTGTGTGGAGGCTAGAGAATCTTTCAGAACTGGTCCCTCAGTGGAGCCAACACTCCCCTGCCTAGCACCAGCAACAACTGCTTGAGGTGGGTTCTGAGCACCTTTGGCTTTAGCTAAAACCAGGTTCAAATCCTTAGGTCTGTTTTTAGAACCTTTAGGTCGCCCTTTCTTCCTTGGTTGTGTGGGATTTATGTTAATGATCAAACCCTTTTGACAGCTCTGAAGTTTCTCCTCAGGTGAAGAAAGGGAGGCCGCTACAGACTGCGAAGAGATGCTTGCTGTAGGTGGTGTTGTCACTGCTGTTGTTACCAATGCCGATGGTGCTGTTGCTAAAGATGACGGAACAAAAACAAGTTGTTCTCTGAGTTTGGGGAGATCTTTAGCCACACCCAACTGCTCAGACTGAAGGTCAGTTGTGGACAAAGATTTCAACAAAGCTGGATTGGATTTCTTCAGGTGATCAGCGGTGCTAATAATGAACAGCTCACCAGTTGTCTGAATATGATCCGTAGAAAACGGACTCCTGTTGTCTCCACTTTGACTAACCGCTACTTCGGTGGCTGATAAACTTCTACGCAGGCCCTTATTTCTAGAGCAGTGAAGAAGCCTGTGCTGGGTCCTCAAGGACTCCTGCTGAAAGGACTCATTACAATCTTCACAAGTAAAAGGACCTGCGAGCAGGTAAGCTCGAGCTGCAGCAGCCAGCCCATCACACATTCCTTGATTCTTAAAATGCTCTGTCGTCAGCACTGTCAGTTTATCAGTGTCCGCCGCACTCACCAGCCCTGCCAATGGTTCCCTTTTCCACTCCATCATGGAAGGAGGAATACTATGAGGAACTGACAACCTCTGTTGCAACTCAGTCATAATAGGATATTGTGCAGACTGTACTGAGCATACAGCATTGATTCCTTGTCTGCTTATTGACTTCTTCTGGTCATGTAGGCTGCCGGATGCAAGAATCTTCAACTGTCCACTTGAAGAGGAATCCTGAACATTAGAGTCCAGAGATCCTGTCTGTATCAGTGATGCCACAGAGACTTTGCTATCTGAAGTCACCCCAGAAAAAGATTTTGATGCCAGCAGTGGTGAATCTGCTTTTGACCTAGCTGGAAACTGAAGCCCTGGCTGCCCAGTCATGGGGCTGTGCTGGCGTGGAGCTTGTAGCATTGAGGTGATGATACTTGGAGTATCTAAACTTCGCTTCTGGGCTAAGGGGTGCATCTGTGAAGCCCCGCCATGGCTGGATGTCTGAATGTGACCCACAGGCTGCTCATTCATATTCTTAGACAACTGAATCTGTATCTGAATCTCATTCCGTCCCGGACCTTGAACTATCTTGGTAGGTAATGAAGTTGGTACTGATGCGACATTTAAAGCATTCTGGTTCAAAGTCTGTGCAGGCTGGTTTCCAAACTCACACAGCTGATTCTCCTGAATGGTAACTCTCCCACCAGATGGCGAAACAGAATTCATTCTACTGGATGCCACCGAAAATGACTTTGTTGTCTCTGAGAGTTGAACCACCTGTGGATGTATGTCAGGCATGGAATGGAATCTGAGAATGCCAGCTGTGTTTGGGGATCGAGGTTTGTTTTCTAAAGCATCTGTTTCTTCCGCTGGTCTCAGCTTCACACCAGAATCTCCAAGAGCAAGCTGTCGGGTCAAGGAAGGGGCTGGAATACAGACCAGCTGAGATTTGTTCAGAGCATGAAGCTGTGCCGAAGTCATCTGCATACTGTTTATGGCATCTATCTGTGCCTGGGTCAGGCCAGAAACAGATGTTGAGGACATCTGTTCCTGGGGATGCAAAGCTTTCCTGATCATAGACACAGGAATAGGCAGTGGCATGGTCTTACCTGCCTCTATCTCCAGGTACTGAGGAACTGATGAAGTGTTGGCAACAAATGAATACTTAATTGGCTGAGGCTGGTGAAGCTGCTGCAGTAGAATTTGTTGGTGCTGAGGCTGCTCCTGTGTCATGATGACCTCTCCTTGGTAAGGACTGCTGAGGCTGTGGGTCATCCCTGGCACTTGAAGGGTGTTAGAGTTGCTTCCCATTGGCCCAGTTGCCATGACCAATGTCTGAGGTGTTATGTTAACTATATTTGGGTCGGATAATTCGGATTTAAGATGTCTCAAGGATGAAGTAGACATTGAACGCTGAAAAAGGTCTGGCTTCAATAAGGCTCCCTCTGTATCACCTACTGACAGTGAAGCTGCAAGCTTCTTCTTCCACTGCTTTTCAGAATTTGCCTCGACAGATGTTCTTTCCTGTTCTGCTGCAGGTTTGAGATCGGACATTTTTAAAGTTTGGAAGCCGGAGTCACTCGTCTGGCGCAGATATTTGTTTTTTGGTCTTGGAGGATCTGTCAGCGTATGCTTGTCAATAATTTCCGCATTTGTTGAGATAATTTTCTGAATTCTATCTTTCACCATGTCTGATGTTAAAGAAGATGACAGTGATCTCCCTTGAAATTTTAACATCCTGTCGCTGTCTGAATCTAAAGCATGCTGATACACTAGAACAGGTTTCCCATCTTTGATGGTGGAAAATGCTGCGGTGTTCGAGTCCCCTAATGAGGGATTTCTAGAAGAAGATGCATTTCTGACTTCACGGACTCCTAGAAATTTTTGTCCAAGAAAACTCGAGTCATCAACTGATGTTGATGAAAAAACACTTTCTCTACTAGACTGACTGAAAACAGATAACAGACTGCCGACTGAAGCATCGTTGCGTTGCAATGCCATTCTTGGTCTCTGCAAAGGGGAATCAACTGATGAATGTTCTGTTGAAGAATCACTCATACGAGATGTAAGTTGAGCCCTCAGCCTGTCCTCATTTCTTCCAGGCTTTGTCTCTGCTGCTGTAACATCCATCATATGCACATCCACAGGCACAGCCGAGGCAGAAACTGACCTAACCAAAGTTGGAGCAGTCAAACAAGAAATTCTGCTTCCGGAAACACTGCTGCTATAACGTCCTTCATGAGACGCTTTTAACTGGCTCTGTTCTGAAAATGCTGAAGGAGCAATGGCTGAAGTGCCTTGCTTTGTCCAGTCTGAAATATACTCAGCTTTCGGTTTCAGAATCCTCACCATCATTCTGTCCTCTGACAAGAACTGGTTAGTCATGAGAACCGGTAGAGTGCTGGGGTATTTCTCACTGTATTCATTCTTTAAAAGTTCCAATGCATTGAGAATATCTGTTGCCTTACTTACATTGTCCATTGTTAAAATATTCTCCTGCACCAAAGCTTTCACCTCTTCATATTTTGTTAGTTCCGACTCAGATGGTTTGTCAAAAGCTCCAAACACTCGTAAAAACCATTTATTCATTTCACTCTTGCCTTCCTTTTCTTGTTGCTGTTTTTTGTTTTTGTTCTCAATCTTTTGCCGTATGCCTTCAAGAACACTCTCCTGTCTCACCATCTGCCCAGAGGTCATATGGCCTCCAAGATCCGATGGACAAGCACCTTCGGTTCTTTCAACAATCACTTTTGGATTTTTATCCTTAGCATCGTCATCATTTTCTGCAAGTCCCGCTCCTTCGACATCTGTATCTGTACCTTCCGTATCATTATCTTCTTCCTCTTGTTTCAAGTCTTCATCTTTTAATTCAATACTGGTGCCATCAGTGCTTCCTGAGCAGGACAGCCCTGTGCGATTAACATGAGCATTTGACTTGCAATGCTTCGACAGGTTGCTCTTTGTCTTAAAAGACACCCCACAAACCACACAAGGAAAGGGTCGCTCGTTTGTATGAGCTCTCAGGTGCTTCTCCAGCACGCTTGGCTTGGCACAAGTGCGGTCACAGTACTTGCACTTGTACTTTCCAGGTTTCTGCGGGTGAATCCTCTTCCGACCGGGAGTTGATGCGGGAACAGTCTTCTCTTTCTGAAAAGTGTTAGGATGCTCATCTAGAACTGAAGAAGCTGACAACTGGGCATCGGCTGGGCCCACCTGCTGCAAGCCCACCTCACTCTCATTATGCAGAACTAATTTATACAACTCCCCCCTCCCGCCGCCGCTGCTGTTGCTACTGCTAACTGGGTAGGTTACTGGCATCTGTTCTGCCGCTGAGGAGTGTGGCACAGAAAAGGTGTAGCACTCGCCATCCAGTCTGGTCATAGTCCCCATGGGCATTTCTGAGGTTGTTATTATAAACTGAGTGCCCTCATCTGGCCCCATGATTTGAACATCGTTCAGAAATATGTAGTTCTGCTGGTCACTAGCTGCTATGGTAACCGGTTCCTGTGTGGGAGTTGTTGGCAGATCCTCTCTCATGTTCTGCAACTCTGAATCTGTGACCTATTAAAAAAAAAAGGCAAAAGTTAGTTAATTAGTTAATCAACAGATTATCCTCACTGCAGATCTGACAAATGAGGATAATAGAATAACTAATGTAAAGCTTTGGGAGAGAACTAAACAGGCTTCAGTGGACCAAGAGGTGAGGAGAAGACGCTGGCATTGGATAGGACACACACTGAGAAAACAGGAGAACAGTATAACTAGAATGTCTTTGCATTGGAACCCACAGGGGCATAGGAATAAAGGAAGGCCAAAAAACACATGGAGAAGAGAGCTGGAGAATAAAGTTAGAAAGATGGGGAGGACATGGGGAGAGCTCCATGCAATGGCGAAGGATAGAACGACTTGGAGTGAGTTGGTTGAGGGTCTATGCTCCATTGGGGGATAGAAAGGCAGAAGAAGAAGACATCAGACAAGTTCATAAGTGCTCAGATCCAATCTTCAGCATATCCCCCATCATATGGCAGCTGATAACACCAGTTCTGTTCTCTGTTGGTTTACTATTCTTCTTTGGCCACCTATATAGTGTTCATGTTTGGTGACACCTCTTTTGACCTGAAGTTCTTTAGTCTTTTGAGTGTTACCGAGTCAACGTCGTCTCCTGAATCATCTTCTCATCCTACCTCCTTGAGAGCATTGAGAATGTCGGCCCGGTCCATTACTTTTCCTGTACCTACCATGGCCCTTCCAGCAAGCCAATCCACTCGTTCATTCCCTCTCACTCCAGAATGTCCTGGGACAAAAATATTCTTCAAGCATAGCCCATGATGAATGAGATGTTCAATATATGGAAGAAAGGTTAGGAACCCACAAGGGGCAAGCAAACACACAAAATTAATTTAATTAATCATGTTCAAATAGTGGGACAGCTAGCCCCCCCCCCCCCCCCCCCCCCCCCAAGTTGGCACAGAATCAATTTTAAATTACATACAAAGACAGCAAATCAAATGGTCTGCTCACTTGGAGAGAATGCCCTCTGATGCCATTCCATACAAGATATATACGAAAAGAGGATAAGGATGGAGAGCAAGAGGTAGACAAAGAACAACATGGGAAGATAACATCAGAGAAACTCTACAGCACCACGATGTGTCTATGGTCGAAGCAGCCAAAGAGCAGGAAGCAGGACCTTATATCTCTCTCAACATCCAAACCAGTAAAAGAGGACGTAAAGAAGAAGAGGAAGAAGAAGAAGAAGAATTATGTTGAGTCTTCACAAATAAGGTTGATTACAACGCAGCCATTGTTGACTTTAGGAATAATACATGCAGGGTTTGTAGCCAAAATAACTAACTTTCTCCTTCAAGGCTTTCTAGGGTTTCCCAAGTATATCTGCAGGGCCATGCGGTCGATTTTCTCAGTACGACGCCTGAAGATGTGGAAAAGGGTCCTTCACTCATTGCCGAGGAACTCGCCATATGTTTCACTGGTTACACTATATATGGTGTACGCCCGGCTCTCTAGCGTAGTTGGCTAAACCGGATTGCGTGGTGACCGGGTGACGAACTCCTTGTGGTCCGGGTTCACTTCCGGGAGTAGGCAGAAAAGCCACATTTCTCCCAGATTTACGGTATTTACAATGGAATCAACGCCGAAAGGTTGCGATATCCATAATACCGAGCCTAAGGGTTAACAACTCATGGCTTCTGGATATTAAAACAAACAAACAAACAAACATGGTGTACACTTCTATCTTTTCTCCAGGTCATGCCGGCGTAGTGGGTAATGAACAGGCAGACAGATTGGCTGGATCTGCACCACTCGGTGGTGAATCGATACATGATGAGGCAGATGTGGTCAAGGCCCTTTGGGAACAAGCAACGGAACAGTAGAGATAGAAGATTATTATGGCCTGGAGAGAATGAGGCACCTGGGTGTAACCAGAGGGTCTGGGCGGCTCACTTGATAAATGGGCTATTAGAAAATATTTATCTTCAAAATGATAATTCAACAGCTTCTAAAGACCTAAAAGCAACCACACTTTCGCTGGGAATTACCTTAAACAATGCCTCCAGGGACCGTGTCGACCGTCTGTCTTTGATATCCCCTCCCTTGCTGTCCACATCTGCATCAGAGGCAAGGGCGGGCGGTGCCGATGAAGACTGGGACCTTGTAAACTGTTGCTGGTGCAGCTGCTGTAGAGCCGCCTGTGATGGTGGTGCCGCCGAGGATGCCGGCAACAATGCTGCCATGGTGATGTTCTTGTGTGAATCCAGGACAACCTGCTGGCCATCATTGACCTGAGAACAGTCAAGCAGATTGTTTCGTGACCTTGAAAACATAAAACCCCAGCACAAGTTCCAGGGCCCTAATTTCTAGGGAAAAAGAACAGATCCCCTGTGCACTAACAAGCATGTCCTAACAGTAGACTTACTAGGGATTTTTCTTTTAAATCGGAGTGCATCTGTCTGACAGTCGAGGAACCAAAAGTCTGCATTACAAATAAGCCAGATGTGTAAAATAGATGTGCATGGAACAAGACTTAAGTCCAGAAGTGGAACGAACGAACGAACGAACAAACTTTATTTTCAAAGGGTTACAAATTGGGCACGCAGGCCCGTCTGACATTCGGCCCTTCTAAGCACTCGTTTTCTGGAGTACCAATGCCTGTTATTTAAAATGCATGTTATAGATATAGGATAGAATATAATACATACATCGTACACAATCTTACACACTCACAGACATATATATATGCTCTCACATTCTCATACTTGCACACTCATTGGACGAACAACCAGAATTTTCCACCAGAGGTTACAGTCGGTTAATGCTAAGAAGCAGCAGAGGAATAGTAAACAGGTATAGAAGATAACAAATGTGAACATCGAAAACACATAAGTAACAAAGGTGGAGCCACCAAAACATGAACAGCTGCAGATATAGATCAGAGCTCTCTAAGTGGAGCCACCAAACATGAACAGTTGCAGATATAGATCAATGAGAGTCAAATGCCCGGCTCTCTAAGTAACAGAGGTGGAGCCACCAAAACATGAACAGTTGCAGATATAGATCAATGAGAGTCAAATGCCCGGCTCTCTAAGTAACAGAGGTGGAGCCACCAAAACATGAACAGTTGCAGATATAGATCAATGAGAGTCAAATGCCCGGCTCTCTAGCGTAGTTGGCTAAACCGGACTGAGCGGTGACCGGGTGATGAACTCCTTGTGGTCCGGGTTCACGCCCGGGGGGTAGGCAGAAAAGCCATATTTCTCCCAGATTTACGGTATTTATCATGGAATCAAGGCCGAAGGGTTGCGATATCCATAATACCGAGCCTAAGGGTTAACAAATCATGGCTTCCGGATACTTGAAACACACAAAAAAAGAGTCAAATAAATTTTTTTTCCATGACCTTGGCTCCCAGGTCAATCAGATTTAAATGGGCACCAGGTAAATTCCTGGGAAGTAAAGGTGACTGGCATGATGTTAACCACATGACGTTGAGTGCCAATAGGTCTATAAAACTGTAAGTCCGAGCTTAAAAAAAAAAAAAGGGCAGGGAGGAAGGGTATCCCTTAGTTAATTTTGTACGTCCCCGTGTGGGCTCTGGGGCCCCCATTGTAGGGAAAACAAGAATAGACCCACTGCCTCCCCAGCTTGCATGTTGTAAAAGTGGACTAGCTGGAGGCTTCCTTTGAAGTCGGAGTGCATCTGCTTCGAGAGGCAAGGAACCAACAATCTGCATACAAATAAGTCATATCGGTAAAACAGTTGTGCATGCAACACTCAGGTTCTGGAACAAAAGACTAAAGTCCAGAACTTTCCGCTGGATAATACAGCTGGTGAATGCAAAGAAGAAGAAGAAGAAGAATTTTGTACTTTTGTAACTTCTGTAACTCACAAGGACTGCGCAGAAGCAAAGCCCAAACACAACACAGCCACTGATGAAATAAAAACACTTACAGGCAGTGAGGAGACAGCAGTCTCAGACTCATTGTGAACCAATGCTCCTCGCTGTTCAGGTTGTGACAGGGCCACCTTGCCAGCATCTTCAGCTACATGGCCAAGAGAAGCACCACTTGCTGCTGCGGCTGCTGCCGTTGTAGCTGCTGCCACTGCTGCTGATGATGATGTTTCTGTAGCTGCCCGGGACAGAATGCTTGCTTTCCGGCTTGTTGGCTGAGAGCTCCCTGAGAAACAGCAAGGTAGTGGTTTTATTTCTTTCTTTTTTTTCTTCTTTTTTTTAACTTGTGACAACATATTTAATAACTAATATTTAAAATTTATAATACTTTCCCACAACTTTTTCTTGATAACAACTCCTGTTACTAGTTTCACAGTTTAACAATTCAGATGACAGAGAAGTAAAAACTGTATACACGAGGGAGATGAATGGTCAAAGACCATGAGGCAGACCTGTGTGTATTGTCCATCAAGATGATGATGACCACTCTTTTTCATCAAGTATGAGTACGAAGATGACTGATGAGGCTGATGAGGGCCCGAAAAGTTCTTGGACAGTGAGGACAGGGAGTGAGTGTTGAGCCAGGGAGGGGATCTCCTGCAGTCGCCTTTCTGTCCATCCTTTTCTTAATCAGTCTTGCTGTTCTGTTTGCTTCACATGTAGCCGCGCCCTTTTGTAGAGCTGCACACCATGCATTTCGGCCTTGAGAGGCAGCTTCCCAATTGGTGATGAAGATGAAAGAGTGACTTGCGTGGTGACTTGGATTAAAGTGAGGAGGAGTTGCGCAGTGTTGTCGACCTCACTCTCTCGCCTAAGTCATAACTGGGTCCAGTGGCAAGACAGAGTCAGGACGACAAAGACCAAGAGACGATGGAGAGATAATATCCAATCAGACCTGCAAACACTGGAAATAAAAGGGCAACCAGAGAGATGAATGGAGGTGGGTGATATCTGCAGCAATGAACCTCAAGGGCTCGGAATGCTGAAGAAGAAGAGGAAGAAGAATATTTACAGAAAGATTCTCAGAGTATTGTGGACCAAGAAGAAAAGAAATACATTCTAACAGATCTGAACATCAAGGAAGACTGGCAAACCACAGCATCTTCTCCAGAAACTGAAATATTTTGGCTATGTCAAGCGCCAACGTGGATTGGAAAGAATAAAAGCAGAAATCACGGTACAAGGAAAGACAGGCAGGGGCCGACCAGCATGAAGATGGACACAGCATATAAGTGACACCTTGAGCAGGAAAGTAAACGAGGCAGGACAGCTGCCGAGAGACCACATTTTTATTTTTAGGCACATCCTGATGATAGCGAAGTTTCACAAAGGACCTGCTACATGATGATGATGAATATTTATCATATCTGTCAGTACTTCACGTGTAAAGTATCCTGCAGCGGCACAAGATGATTATTATGGTTCTTTTTCATGGCGCAAAGGTGCATCAATATACTCTTCAGGAGACGCCGGAGTGCGAGTCAATAAAAGAGTAGATTTTATGGCTACAAAACGACAAGGCTATTCAACTAAGTTTACTTAGGGACTACAATTTTAAAAATGGGGATCACGCCCCACAGGTTCGAACCCCAGCTTAGTAAGATCATTATACAATACAACTGGCATGCGGGCCACTAGCTAAGCCTCTGCGGGCCAGATTTGGCCTGCGGCCCATCAGTTGAATAGCCCTGCCTTAAGACATTTGCAGCAAGAGGCGGAGCCTCTATGCATATGCCAGGTGTTCTTCTTCTTCTTCGCGTTCACCAGCTGTAAACTCAGACGGACAAGTTCTAGTTGTTCGTCCACTTCTGGACTGTAGTCCTGTTCCAGAACCTGAGTGTTGCATGTGCATCCGTTTTACAGCTCTGACTCATTGGCGTGCAGACTGCTGGTTCATTGCCTCTCAGGCAGATGCACTCCGACTTTGAAGGAAGCTCTCAATTAGTCGACTTTTACGTTACGACATGCTTTTGGGTTGGCAGTGGGTCTATTCTTGTTTTCCTGTATAATAGGGCCCAGGAACCCACACGGGTAGACGGGTGTTCTATAATGTCAGTTCTTTAATCAGTAAATCACCACCTGCGGAGGTGCACCAGCACCAGTGAGCATACTGGTCAAAACATATTTATATGGTTATCCTAGAAACAGGTTCTCCCAATTAGGGTTCCGGCTAATGTCAAAAGAAACGTCATTTCTCAAAAAGTCAGGGCAAATGTGCGTGAGAGGTCAGGAAATAATGGGCAAATGTGCCTGAGAGGTCAGGAACTAATGGGCACATGTGCCTGAGAGGTCAGGAACTAATGGGCACATGTGCCTGAGAGGTCAGGAACTAATGGGCACATGTGCCTGAGAGGTCAGGGACTAATGGGCACATGTGCCTGAGAGGTCAGGAACTAATGGGCACATGTGCCTGAGAGGTCAGGAACTAATGGGCACATGTGCCGGAGAGGTCAGGAACTAATGGGCACATGTGGCTGAGGGGTGAGGAACTAATGGGCACATGTGCCTGAGAGGTGAGGAACTAATGGGCACATGTGCCTGAGAGGTCAGGAACTAATTGGCACATGTGCCGGATAGGTCAGGAACTAATGGGCACATATGCCTGAGAGGTCAGGAACTATTGGGCACATGTGCCTCATGGGTCAGGAACTAATAGTCTTCACACAAGTAAACCAGATTTGTGAAAGAGATGTGCAAAACAACACTTCAGTCCTGGAATTTAAGAAGAAGAAAAAACAGTCTAGATACAGACACCACAAACCTGGACTTTTCTTCTGCCAGAGACAGCAGAAGAATAAAGCTTCTTATTAAAGTCAAATCACCGAAGCGATAAAATTAATCATATTTCCAGCTCGGCTGTGGTTAAGAAAGTCATAGGTTCAAACTCAAAGCAGCCAGACTTTAAAACAAAAATCATCTTGGCTTTCAGGCTGACCCAGCCTTAAATGTGTTCCAGGTAAAATTCTGGGTAGCGAAGGTGGCCGGGATAAGGATCATTACATCAACACTGAGTGCTAATTGGTCTATAAAATATAAGTCTAGCCTTATATGCCCAATTCGGCTTAAGGTGTGGGAAAGGGTCTTTTACTTTTCACTATTTCCAGCTTTGAAAGTTGAATTAAGAACCGACATCACAGCACTCTGGACACTCCCATAAGAGCTCCATTCACACTTTCAGCAGCATGCAAAGAGTTCCAATCCCGACGGTACCACACCACCAACTGTTTGATTGTACATCTGTCTCGCCTTTCCCTTAGTCTTGGGTGTCAGCCAGATCCCCTGATAACTTTCCGCAGCGCCATTCTCCTCAGACCGTAATGATCTGTTTGTGCC